GGTAAAAGAGGAGAGTGAAAAACCTGGCTTAAAACCCAACATTCAAAAAATGAAGATCATGGCATCTGGTCTCATAACTTCATGGCAAATAGATGGGTGGAAAATGGAAACAGTGACAGATTTTATTTTCTTGGGCTCCAAAATCACTGCAGACGGTAACTGCAGCCATGAAATTAAAAGATGCTTGCTTCTTGGAAGAAAAGCTATGACAAACCTAGATAGCATATTAAAAGCAGAGACATCACTTTGCTGACAAAGGTATGTTTAGCCAAAGCTATGATTTTTCCACTAGTCATGTACGGATTTGAGAGTTGGAGAATAAAGAAGGCTGAGCACCGAAGAATTGATGCTTTCAAATTGTAGTACTGGAGAAGACTCTTGAAAGTCCCCTGGATAGCAAGGAGATCAAACCAGTCAGTTCTAAAGGAAACCAGCCCTGAATATTCATTGGAAGGATTGATGCTGAAACTGAAGCTCCAATCCTTTGGTCACCTGATTCGAAGAGCCAACTCATTGGAAAAGACCCTGATGCTGGGAAAGATTGAGGTCAAGGAGGAGAAGGAGGTGGCAGAGGATGAGATGATTAGATAACATCACTGACCCAATAGACATGAGTCTGAGCAAACTCAGGGAGGTAGCGAAGACAGGGAAGCCTGGGGTGCTGCAGAGAGCCAGACACAACTTAGTGATTGAACAACAAATGTTCTCTTCTTTTCTTTAATTGAAATTGAGTTGTTTGTTGAAGCAGTTCTTCCAGAAGGTATCTTTGTCCCTTGTCATGCTCTCTTTTCCACTTCCTTTCTGTATTATCTTGGCTTGCATCTCCTGTTGGATCTCTTCTGTTTATCAGTCCTCTTTAAATAGGGATAGCTTTATCTGGTAGTGAGGGTAAACTTGTCACTCAACCCTGTTGACCTTGGCTCCCTTCCAAAAGCAGACTGGCTCTCTGGATGTTGTCATTGGTTTGTAATCTCTGTCTACCTCTTTGGCTTCCTGGATGAATAGAGGTGTATGACCCGGATTAGTAGGCAGTTGAGTGGCTCAGTTTGGTTATGTTGCCTCAGAATATTTTTCACACGAGTCTGATGAATTATGATGAATTATCTACCATGGGGGCCCGTGTAGCCATGGGAGGGGGTCTCCTGTGAGATCTGAACTATCTCTCCACAGACAAGAAGGTCACTCTGGTTGCCAGCTAGCACTCTGTGGCACACGGGGTTTTGGTATGATGAGTCATCTTCTGTTTATTTCTGTTGAGATAACTTCAATCCACAGTTGCACAGTTGACTTTGAAGCTGTCCTCTCTTTCCCATGTGGAAGGTTCCTATATGAAAGGATGATGCTTGGTCCTTCATGACTCTTTAACTAAAACACTTCACCTAAGGCTCAGAGAGAAAAGTTTTAGCTTTGGGCATCATTCTTCAATGCACCTAAATTTTATTGTATCTGACAATGTAGTATAATGATGATTCAGAGTATAATGATTACTCTGACCCTGAGGTCAGAGTGCCTGAGTTCAGATATTGATTTTGCTACCAACTGGCTGATGACCATGTGCAAATTTATTTAACTTTTCTGGGTTACAATTTCCCATCTTTGAAATGGAGCTAATGATATGAAGATGAAATGAATTAATACAAATAAAAGGATTTAGAGCAAAGCCTGGCATAAACTAAGTGTTCAATAGGTGTTAGACTTGTATATTTCTTACTATATTTCTTGTAGTCCAGGTTAGAGGGTAAATGTTCATCTCCTCCACCATCTTTTTAAAAAAAATATTTATTTATTTGGCTGCTCCGAGTCTTAGATGCAGCACACAGGATCATTCGATCTTCGCGTGGGCATGTGGGATCTAGTTCCCTGACCAGGGATGGAACCTGGGCCCCTGCATTGGGAGCTCAGAGTCTTAGCCACTGGACCACCAGAGAAGGCCCTTTTCCACCATCTTTACAAGAACTTCTTGAGGGTTAAATTCAAGAAATGTGTAGAAAACCCCTAGCACAGTGCTTAGCACATAATAGGTCCTCAAAACATGTGTTGACTGTTAAATAATGAGTATGGAGGAAGGGTCCAGTGAGGGGCAGAGGTTAGCAGAAGCTTTAGGAGTCTGTCTTTGCTCTGGGCCAAGACTATAGAATATGCCCCCTGGACTTCCCTGACGGTCCAGTGGTTAAGAATCCTCCTGCCAATGCAAGGGACACAGGTTGGATTCCTGGTCTGGGAAGATTCCACATGCCACAGGGCAACTAGGCCCATGTACCACAACTACTGAGCCTGTGCTCTAGAGCCTTTGAGCTGCAACTACTGAAGCCCATGCACATACAGCCTGTGCTCCGCAACAAGAGAAGCCACTGAAATGAGAAGACCACACACCACAATGGAGTGCTCTGCCCTCTGCAACTAGAGAAAACCCAAGTGCAGCAGTGAAGACCGAGCACAGCCAAAGATAAAATAAAATAATTTAATTATGTAAAAATAATACATCCCCTTTCCTCCCATTCAGACACCAAGCAGATTTAAATGCTTGCCACCAGCCAATCAAAGAGAAGTAAGATTCCAGGAGTTTGCAGGCTTAGAGTTTTTCTTACACCACCTTGCTCACTTGGATTCTAAATACTGAAAGATAATTACATCAAGCAAACAAAAGGCCAGTGATCTCACACTTTAGTCCAGTCTTTAAGCTAAACGTAACAATATTCATACAATTCCAATTACTAAGAAGGATTTATGTTTATTTACACAAACACAGCCTTGGGATAATCTCAAGCTAATCTTTTTTAGCTTAATGATGGGCTGAAGTGTTAACTTCTTATAATTTTCAAGAAATTCAGCCAAGGGCTTCCCTCGAGGCTCAGTGGTAAAGAATCTGCTAGCCAGTGCAGGAGACTCGGGTTCAATCCCTGGTCCAGGAAGATCTCACATGCTTCCCAGCAACTAAGCCCATGCGCCACAACTACTGAGCCTGTGCTCTAGAGCCTGGGAACCACAACTACTAAAGCCCAAGCACTCTAGAGCCTGTGCTCTGTGACAAGAGAGGCTTCTGCAACGAGAAGCCTGTGCATTACAACTAGAGAGTAGCCCCTCTTGCCACAACAAGAGAAAAACCCGCACAGCAACAGAGACCCAGCAAACCCCAAAATAAATAAATAGATTTAAAAAAAAAAGAAATCCCGCCAAAATGTGATAAGGATTTGGAGAAGTTTATAGAACCCAACCGTGGGAAATACATCTAAACACACAGAGTCACAGGTGACTACCCTCTCCATCACTCTCTAGGAGTGAGTGTTCTTCCAGCCAATTAGGATTAGGTTCAGCTGTAAAAGACAGAAAACCAAAAATAACAGTGAATTCAAGTAGGTAAAACTTTTTTTCTCTCCAGTGAAGGTGGGCAATCCAGTTCTGCCTCATCAGAGACTCCTTTTATCTTGCCATTCTCGGCATGTGGCTACTGCATGGCTCTAGATGGCTGCTTCAACCTGTGCCATTTCATCTTCATTCCAGTCAGCAGGAAGGAGAAAAGAGGAGATGTAGGGCATGCCTTTCACATTAAACATACTTCCTAGAAATTGCACAAAACATTTCTATCTATATCCCATTGGCCAGAACACAGTCACCTCGTCACATCCAGCTGTAAGGGAAGCTTGGTTGTGTGGTCTTTATTCCGTGTGTCTTACTAAAAGTCTAGGGTCTCTATTATTGAAGAAGAAGAGGTGAATATTGAGGAACAACAAGCAGTCTCCACCACTCATCTATACTTCTCTCCCCAGATTGGTTCTTTCTCTTCCCTGCAGACCAGGCTTCTCTGTTCACAGTGTCTGACCCCTCACACGGCCCACTTGTACAGATTTTGGGATGGCCACAATGTCGGCTCTTAGCTCAACTCCACAAGTCTTTTTTTAGTTCAAAAGCTGCACATGGCCTAGTCACCTCAGCCTCTGTGTCTCCATTCCAGTTTCCTAGAGAGAAAAACTGATTGGTCCTATTGGGTCAGGTGATCATGTCCTCAATTCTGAGCCAAACCTCTGAGGCCTCAGCCATGGCAGGGCTCTCCCTTTTAGGACGGGATGGAACAGGTCCTCTCAGGGGTGTAAGTGGGAGGAACTGGTGATCCCACCTGGTGAGTCCTCCTTCCAAGCTTCCTCCTGTCATAACACCCAGCCCACTGGATGAAATTTGTCAGTTTGCTCTTCCTGAGGGCAGGAATAATCATCTTTTCCCCAGAGCCTAGCAATTACCTGGCACACTCAACTTTTGTGGTAGAGTGAATAATCCAGTCTAGTCCTTAATCGTGCAGAGGTTGAATGCTTGCCCAGACATACACGGTAGGGCACGACAGGAGCAGCAAGGGAACCCAGGAACCCTGATTCCCTGTGCCTGGAGAGATTTCCCTGGATTACCCGGCTCTGTGTGTCTGCTCCATTGTTCAGCATTTGTCTCTGTGCCCCTGCCCGGGGTTGCAAAGAATCTCCCCCACACGTGGCCCACGAGAGCCCTAGGCTGGAGGCTATTGGTTACACTGCTCAGAGTCCATTTCCTTTCTCGGTCTTCCTGGTGAGGTAATTTGTCTCCCCACAGCTCCAAGCTGGGCCCCTTTGGGGAGGTCTTGCCCTGACAAGGCCTGATCAAGCTAGGCTCTGGATGCAGGGACACTCAAACAAGTGGGCTGAGTAAGGAGACAAAGGTGGGAGAGATTTCCATGGCCACCCACCTGGGGCTGCTCTCAGAGGAGCACCCAGCCATAGAAAAGCGTGGGAGGGAACTTCCTTGGCTGTCCAGTGGTTAAGACTATGTGCTCCCAGTGCATGGGACACAGGTTCAATCCCTGCTTGGGGAACTAAGATCCCACATGCCATGCAGCACACCATGGCCAAAAAATAAAAGAGCTGCTGCCTCCCCCTCCATCACTGTCCTACTCCCCAGCCCCTGTGACCTTCCCTCCCGCCCCCTCCAGTTCCCCCATAACTCACTGGGCCCTCCTCTCACGCTGTCTGCACCCACAGGCCTCGAACCCTCTGTGGCAGTCCCGGAGCTCCACCACTGTGTCTTCAGGGGGCCGTTTCCGCTGCCCATCTTGCAGGCACGAGGTGGTCCTGGACCGACATGGCGTCTACGGCCTGCAGCGGAACCTGCTCGTGGAGAACATTATTGACATTTACAAGCAGGAGTCCTCCCGGTGAGCTGTTAGGGTCTCATTTCTCTAAAGTGCAGGGCCTGGGACATAGCCAGGGAGCCCATCAGGGCCAGCAGGGAGAAGCTGAAACGATCAACCTGCCTCTTCAGTTTAGTGATGAGAGGAGGAGGAGGGACTTGCCCCCAGCTCGGTAGGTCACCAGCTCAGGCGGCCTCTGATTCCTGGTCAGCGCTTCCCCCTCTTCACCTGGGAGGGGCTGGCCATCCACCAGCAAGGTCCTTGCTAACCCTCCATGACCTCCCTCCCGTGGGACTTCCCTGCCCCCTGGAATAGAAACTACTCTTGGATCTAGGCCTCCTGCACCCTGGATGTAGCTCTGTTCCTCAAGTGAAGAGGAAGTCACCCGCCTGCCCAGCCACAGCAGCAGCTGTCGGGCACAGAGGGTGGCAGTGGCTGGTGGAGGCGGAAGAAAAAGTGCTCAGGGGGCCTCACACGCTTGGCCCCCCTGCCTGGCCCCTGACCCCCCTCCCATCCTGCCCACTCCCCCGCAGTCCACTGCATTCCAAGGCTGAGCAGCACCTCATGTGCGAGGAGCATGAAGACGAGAAGATCAATATCTACTGTCTGAGCTGTGAAGTGCCCACCTGCTCTCTCTGCAAGGTCTTTGGTGCCCACAAGGACTGTGAGGTGGCCCCACTGCCCACCATTTACAAACGCCAGAAGGTATCAAGCAGCAGAGGGAGCAAGCATGGGGCGGCGGGGGAGGCGGGGCGGTGGGGATGCAGGATGGGATCTCAAAGTGCAGCCTCTTACTCCACTTGACTTCAAAGGCAGGCAGATCAGGGCTGAAGTCCCAGCTCAGAGTGTGACCTTGGGTAAGTCACTTGACCTCTCTGGCCCTGACGTTCTTCCTCACTTGTAAAATGGGAATGAAAGTGCTTACACCTGAGAGTTTTAAGGATCATATGAGAAATGGATGCAGTATGGTGAACTCTCAAGGCCATCTCACTGTCATACAAGTAGATTCTACATAAAACATTATTTAAAATTAAGGGACTCCTCTGGAGGTCTGGTGGTTAAGCTTCCAGTGCAGGGGCACTGGTTCAATCCCTGATTGGGGAACCAAGATTCCACATGCCATGCAGTATGGCCAAAAAATAAATTAATCAGTTAATTTTTGAAAAAATAATTGAAAAAATAAAATAAAAATTAAATTAGTAGACAGGTAGAAAGTAAAGGAAAAAGAAAAAGAAAAAAAAGAAAGTAAAGGAAAGCTCCAAGTGTGGGTGAGGTAGGGAGAGAAGGTGGGGGAGTGAGATGTGAACAGAACCTTGAATGATAAGCATGGGAAAGGTAGGATTTCCCACAGGCAAATTATTACTGAGCTAGACAGATGAGACTATGCCTACAAACTCCTGAAACTTGGGGGACCTACAACAAAGACCCCCAAGGATCACAGGATACACTGGAATCCCAGGAATCCCTGGAGTGGTCAGTTGTGCCACCTGGCTTTTGACTAAAGCAAATGCAAATTCTGCCTGGTGGAAAAACCCTCAATTTAGGCCTTGGGTTTTTCTTAGATTAAGATCAGCGTAAGATGAGCTCACAATTGAAGATAAACAAAGAAACATACTCATGAGTGAAGTCAGCAGAAACAAAATTTTCAGATTTAGACCCTCAAGAAATTAAGATACTGGTATTATTAAAGAAGGTAAAGTCAGCTTTGTATAAAATGCTTTAAAAATGGAATTTAAAAATAAGCAATAGTAGACTATCAAAAGTGCAGATTTGATAAAGAACCAAACAGCTTTTAGAAATGAAAATATAATTGTAGAAAACAAAACATTCAAGGGACGAATTAAATGACAACTTCCTCTCAGTAAGAGAGGACTGGGGAATTCCCTGGCTGTCCAGTGGTTAGCACTCTGAGCTTTTACTCTCAAGGGCCTGAGTTGGGGAACTAAGATGCCACAAGCCACACAGCATGGCCAGGAAAAAAAAAATTTTTTTTTCACATAAAGAAATTTTAAAAGGGAAAGAGAGGACTGAAAAAATATCTTAGAATATAGCACTGGGAAATGAGGAGGTTGGGAATGAGAAGGTCTAACATATATCTAATCAGAGTCCCAGAATGAGAAAAATAAAGAGAAAGGAGAAGAGGCAATATTATCTTAACAGATAATCCTGAAGACCTTTTCAAAATTGGTGGGTGATAAAGCACGCAGCCCAGTGCCTGGCATTTGGTGGATATTTGGTGAATGTCTCTTCCTTACTTGGAGGTGGAGGACTTCCTATCTCCACTTCCTTCCAGAATTTATAGACTGTGCTTCCAAACTTCTTGAATGGTTCCAAACTCTCTAGATCTCTGTCAGAGTTGCCCTGAGGATGCCCTGATGGTGGAGTGGAGGGCAGTCCTCTCCTGGGTAGCCCTGGACAGGGAGGGAGGGACTTAGCTCCAGACCAGGTCCTCCAGCCCTGAGTGCTGGCCTCTGTGTGTGGCAGAGTGAGCTCAGCGATGGCATCGCGATGCTGGTGGCCGGCAATGACCGTGTGCAAGCAGTAATCACACAGATGGAGGAGGTGTGCCAGACCATTGAGGTGAGCCTGGAAAGGGAGGGAGGCAAAGTTGCTGGGCTCCTGGAGGTGAATCACAAATGGTAGAATGTGCTTACCCAGGCTGCTAGGTTTGAATCCCAGCTCTGTCCTCCCCTATGACTGGTCCAGTGACTTGACTTCTCAGTGTTTGGGTTTGCTTGTTTTTAACTATGTAAAAGAGTGATGATGAGAATGATATGATGGCTACCTCCATGGAGCTTTTTGAGAATTAAGTGAGATAATACAAATAAAAACCAGAGTCAGAGAATTAGGCAGCAGCCCTCATGAAACTCCTTTAAATATATAGTGTTATTTTCTGAGAGAGTAGATCTTAAAAGTTCCCATCACAGGGAAAAATTTTTGTCCACTATGTATGGTGTTGGATGTTAACTAGGCATATTGTGGCGATCAGTTCACAATATATACAAATATTGGATCATTATGTTGTACACCTGAAGCTAATATGTTGTATGTCAATTAAACCTCAACAAAATATATATCAGTATTATTACTGAAAAGATCTGGGAACCAGAAGCCCTGGGTGGAGTCCAGTCTCTGCCACTAATTTGTGGCTGTAATTGACAGGTCACAGCTCTTCTTTGCTCCCCGAGACTTCCATTAAGTGGGGAGTGGGACAAGTAGCCTGGTGCTCTCCTAGCTATGAGGTCTCATCCTTATTCCTGGTTTTTCAGGATAACAGTCGGAGGCAGAAGCAGTTGCTGAACCAGAGGTTTGAGGGCCTGTGTGCGGTGCTGGAGGAGCGGAAGGGTGAGCTGCTGCAGGCGCTGGCCAAGGAGCAGGAGGAGAAGCTGCAGCGAGTCAGGGGCCTCATCCGCCAGTATGGAGACCACCTGGAGGCCTCCTCTAAACTGGTGGAGTCTGCCATCCAGTCCATGGAGGAGCCGCAGATGGCGCTCTACCTGCAGGTGGGCCCTGGGCCCTGGGTGGGGGGCGGGGCGGAGGCGGGCGGTGGCAGGCCACCTAGTGGCTGCAGTGGGGGCCTTCGCACTGGGAAGCCGGGTTCAAGTCTTATTTCTGGCACCTACTTGCCCCATGGCTTTGGGCAAGTCACCCTCTCTGTCCTTTTTTTTTTTCCTTAACAAATTGGGACATGCATTCCCCCCCCCCAACCCGCAGGACAGTGGTGGGCATCAGAAATGGGATATTCCCGGAGGTTGGCACAGTGCTTACTCTCACCCTCCTTTCCTCCCTGCAGCAGGCCAAGGAGTTGATCAATAAGTGAGTAGGTGGAGTGGGAAGGGAGAGGAAGGGGTGGGCGGGGACTCCACTGACAAGGGTGGGAAAGGGGTGGTGGTGCTTGGAGTCTCCAGCTGAGCCGCTGTGGCTGCTGCAGGGTCGGGACGATGTCGAAGGTGGAGCTGGCCGGCCGGCCGGAGCCAGGCTATGAAAGAATGGATCAATTCACCGTGAGCGTGGAGCATGTGGCCGAAATGCTGAGAACCATCGACTTCCAACCAGGTGAGGAAGACAGGATGTGAGGAAGAGGCCGGCCGCTAGGTCTGGGAGTCCAGACCCTCTGGGTCGGGGAGGGATGGGGGTAAGACGTCCAGAGAATAAGGGACCCCAACTCACCCAGTCTTCTCCTGGCCTAGGCACTTCTGGGGAGGAAGAGGATGAGGAGGTCGCGGTGGAAGGGGAAGAGGGCAACGCAGGACCAGAGGAAGAGCGGACGGATGGGCGGGAAAGTGAGTGTGGACATCGGCGGGGCCTGGCGGGGACCCCCTTCCACCGTCGGGCCATCGTACTCTCCGGGGCATCAGGGATCGCTTGGAGACCCTACTCCCAACATCAACCAGGAGGGGCGCGCCCCCTAGCGCGCCGGCCGAAGTACAACTTTCTTTAACACTATCCATCTCTCTGGGCTGGTGGGAGACCGGGTTAGGTGGGGCAGTGGAGGAGAAAACCCTCCTGCCTGGAGAAACGAGTGAGCTGGGCTTCGGAATTGCCTTGTTTTTTGGGAGCGCCCGCCCACTGAGCTTTCTTTCCCAGACACAGGCCAGCACTGACTCGCTCCTGTTGCGGATCCTGCACACCCGGGTCCTGGCGCTCGGATGGTAAACGACCTGAGCAGAGACCACCATGCCACCCAGCCCGGCGCCCCGCCGCGGGGGAGGGGCTCAATAAAGAGCTAATGCGTCCCGACCCGCAGCTCCTTTCACTGCTCACTCTCTCAGCTTCTGCTTCGGAGACATAGCATCACCATCCATCCCGCCCTTCTCCAAATCTGGGACCTCTTGGGGCGGGGACGGGTGGGGGTGGGGGGTGAAGCGGAACGAACCCTTTTTGGGCACCTCCTTGATATTAGGCACGGATTCGCGAGCCCAGTGCCAAGAGAAGAGAGTCGGGGCTGGTGCGGCGACACTGGGGCTTGACTTCCTGGGACACTTGGAGACAATGGGGACCCCAGGACCCTGGCATAAAGCGGTTCTCACGGAGCCCTCCCCCAGCATTTGGTTCCCTCTCGCCGGCCTGGGAGACCCCACTTTCCCACGGGTTCACACCCTGCTGTGGCTCCCCGCGCCCCCACAACAGAGGCCAACGGCTCTTCAGCACTTTTATTAAAAACCGGTAACGCGGAGAGTGCTCAGGGTAGCCCCAGGCCGCTATAGCCCCGCAGGACTTGGTCAGTTCCTGTCGCTCACGTCTCAACCCTGAGGTGGAGCACTGGGGGTCGAGATGCTCGGGGCCCCAGACCCGCCGATCACTTGCCCACCGAGTCGAATATGATGCGGTTCTGCTCGGCGCGCTCCCTCTGGCTCTGCGTCCGCGCGAGTTCCAGCAGGGTCCGCAGCAGGTGGAAGGTGAGGTCAATGGACAGGGGAGGGTCGTCCCGTCGCGGCCGCTCGCCTGCGGATTCCCACCGGCCCTGCTCCACCCGGCGGCGCGGAAAGCGCTCCGCCAGCAGCAAGAGGAGCGCGCGGGCCCCACCTCCGTGGTTCCGTGTCCCGGGGCTCCAGCGCAGACTTGGATCTCGGACCCCGGCGGCCGCCGCCTCCTCCTCCGGGCTCCACTGGCTGCTCCCCGGGCGCAGCTGTGCCAGGAGCAGCAGCGCGGCCAGCAACGTCTCGCGTCCCGCCGGCCTCATGATCCCGCCGGCCCTGGACACACAGGCGCAGCGCAGTGTGTGAGGTGCGCCTCGGGCAGCCTCAGGGGACGCCGCTCCCCTTCCCGAGCACATCCAGCGCCCCTGCCCGGCCCCTGCGACTGCCGTCCGATGCCCACAGCCTTCCCGCCAGCCCCAGCGGTTCCCAGCCCTGTGCCACCCTTTTCTCCCGCCCTGCCTCCCTCTTGGGGTGTCGCGTTGCGTGAGCTGAGCGCTGTCCTGGTGCTGAGGGAGTCTGGGCAGACGCGCAGAGCCACTCACAGTTCGCAGGAGAGCAGAGCCTCTGCACCCTGCAGGACGGAGCTCCAGTCTCTGTCCCTTGGGGAGGGCTGAGGGCGCCTCGGGGAACACGGGGTCTGTCCCGGGACCTACGCCAGCCTTATATAGTGCCAGGACAGCTCCGGCTGACGTCAGCGAGGAACATGCACTGATTGTAGAGCAATGACAGCCGCAACTCTGAGTCCGACCCTACGGCTGCGAGACCCCAAGAGCGCGCCAGAGGACACCAGACTTCGTGTTTCTGGAAATGACACCGGACTCAAGAGAAAGAGAAGCCTTCTGGGGCGTAAAGATTGCTCTGGGAGCCACGAGAGTTCTTCACTCGCTTAGAACGCCAGGAGGGACTAGGGGGCCGGCCAGTCCCTAGACCAGACTAGTCCAGATCTCCACCCTTCTCTGGCACAGGAAAGGGAGGCAGGACTGTGGTGCTGCTGTCCATGGTGCTGACCTTGTCCTCAGCCTCTGAAAGGGGCCAGAGACCTTGGGGAAAATGCTGTGCTGCTCAGATCCAGTTCCTTGCCCCAGCTATCTGTTCTATAAATGGAGGCAATCAGGATGGCACTGCTAGCCTTCAGCTACCACCGTGGTACCCTACCCAAGAGGCAGTTTGAGCTGCCAGGATTCGTGATCTTCTTCCAGCCCCAGGATCTAAATCCTAGGGCTGTCTGACTGACATGCCAAAAAAAGAGGGCCTCTCAACTTGGGGTGCTTTCAGATAACAAAGGCTGGTCCATCTGCTTCTTGGTTTGCCTCAAAGCTGAAGTTTAGCCAAGTTAAATTTTCTCCTGGGAATCACAGTAGGAATATTATTTTATCGCTGACCTCCAGGTTAAGATCACTGAGTAGGAAGTAAGAAAACTTGGCTTCTTAGTCTGTTTGAGCTGCTGTAACAAAAATACCATAAGCTGGGTGGCTTATAAACAACAAGCATTTATTTCTCGCAGTTCTTGAGGCTGGGAAGTCCAAGATCACAGTGCCAGTAGGTTTACTGTCTGCTGAGGACCTGCTTCTTGCTGTCTCCTCAGGTGGCCTCTTTTGTAAGCATACGGATCCAAACAGGTCCCTACCCTCATGACCGAATCACTTCCCAAAAGTCTCACCTCTAATACCATCACCTTGGGCGTTAGGTTTTCACCATATCAACTTGGGGAGATACAAACATTCAAACAATGATACCACATGTTCATGTTTCTACTCTGCCACTAACTCACAGTGTGGACAGGTCACTTCACTTCTATGGACCTCAGTGTCCTCATCTGTAAAAGAAGATTAGGGTTTGGGGGTCTCCAGACTTCTTTCCAAACCCTGGAAAATGAGACTCCCCAGTCATTTTCTGCTGGGTCTTACTCATTGCCTCTGCAGGTTCCAGATTACCTATTTAGAAATATATTTACAGAGGCACCATATAAAGAGTTTGAGGGGATCTCCCCCAAATTGGAGCTACACTGGGGCTGGGAAGGGTTAGGAAAACAGCTGTCTATGAAGTGTGGGGAAAAGTGGTGTCTGCCAGGATATGGGTATAATCTAAAGTTGACAAAATGATATGTTTCAACAAATATTTATGGAGTGCCTACTGTGTGGTGCGTTTTCGTCATTTCAATAGGAGTCAGGTTACATTTTAGAGTGAAATGGGCCATTTCAGGGTGCTAACCCCATTAAGTTCTGACCAGCCACCAAACCCTGTGAAGATCAATGTGCCCGCTTTGAGGAGGTGGTCCGAGGAGGAGGTAGCCCTTCCAGGGTCAAGGTGCATCACTACAAGGTGGAAGTGATGGAGTGAAGCTGACTTAGAGCCGATGTGCCTTCCAGGACAGGTAGGAGTTCCAGATAACAGCAACACACTGGACCACAGCCAACCTAAGGAACAGGGACAGCACCATGAAGAAGAGGAAGTATAAGGAGGAAGCCAGGGGGAGAGAAGGGAAAGTATAGACAAAGAGCAAATATCTCCAAGAATGTCCAGATCTAGGTCTCCTCCTTCAGCCCCATGGATGGATGTGTGGCTCAGATGAGAGGACAACCAGCTCAGGTGCTGGTGCTGACCCAGAGCTCCGTCTCCTGGACAAGAGCCTCAAAGTTAACTGCCCCCCAGCAGCCATTTTGCCATGCATGGCTCTTTATCCATACTCCATCCAAGTTCCTTCTAAATACACATCTGTCTTGTACAGCTGAGATCTCATCTTCCAAAAATGCCTGCCATTTAAAGCAGTACCTCCTTCTATTTTAAATATACTTCACTCTAATTTCAAAGAGCATTTCCAGGACTCTAAAGTTTGATTTGGTTCACAAGTCTGTATTCCTTTTAGTTATAGTGTTCATGTCCATTCTGACCTTGTCTCCTCTGAAGAGTTTCATGATTTCCCCTGTTCCCAAAGCCCCCTCACCTCCAATAATTTTAACCACTCATCTTGTTTCCACTATATTTATTTTTATTGAGTTTTCAGCCACTACCCTGCTTATTTAGGGTAAAATATTTTTCAGTGGAACTAACCTGACCATGTTCCTACTTGACTCTGATCTACAATTCTGACTAACCTAGGCTGTAGTACTGTCCCTACAGTTAGGCCATCAAAGGTAAAGAGCCCAGGTGGGATGGAGACGAGGGCTGTGGAGCAAGATCCTCCCTAGGAAGATGAGAGGTCAGCAGGCAGACGCTCTGGGACGTTCTATAACATAAGAGATTCTGAATAAAGTGCTCAGGAGTCTGAGCTCTGACCAGGGCAGGGTGTTCTGGGTGGGGGCGGCGGGGGGAACATGTTCTAAGGTAGTTCAAGGTTAAAAATGAGTATCACTTTGTCTCCAACTGTTCATAATATGCATCTTCCTTGAAGGGTGGGGTGGGGATCTGGCATACCTGTAATGAAGAGGAACCAGGTAGAAGTTGGCCAACTGCACGGCAGGCCAGAGCTACGAGAGAGAGAAGGGAAAGGTTGGGGGGCTGCTTCCATCACGTGACGCCAGACTCACGGCCTTGCCTGGTCTGACTTCAGCTTCTCCAGACAGAAACATGTGGCACTGGGTGAGTGCTTCCCTGATTACAGTGCCCATGTGGGTGTGAGGGAGTAATCCCGATGGAGGAATTTCTGTGTCAGGAGGACCCCCAATCCCTGGACATTTCTGGAGTCAAGAAAGCAGAAGAGGCAGCTGAGGCACCAGCTCTTACATAGTAGTTGGTGATGAGAGCATCAGGAAAATCCTGAGGAGACAAGAGAAGGAACAAGTGAACACTGGCACTTCCGGGCACCTCGGACCTCCAGGTGCCGACTGCCAACTGGCATGAGTATCACACACAGACTTTGGCTCAGAGAAGACACCCCTGCACCACAGACCCCGGCTCCTCTCCTCCAGAGCTAGGCTCTGCCTGCATCTCCACCCCTCCCTGCCTCATTCCTCCGGGTCTGCCAGTTCACCAGCCAGAAAGCATCCCCACACGGGGCCAGCTCACCCGCTGGAGTTTGGCCCAGTTGTCCTGGGCTGACAGTCCATTGAGGGTCCCAACCAGTGGGAGGAAACAGCCCAGAAAACATGGGGCAAAGCCCCCCTAGGGAAGAGAAATTAAAGTGCTGTGAGGACCTAAACCCCCGCCCTCCTGCAACACAGCTCACCCTTCCCAAATCCCTTTTCCTTCTGCTCACCTGATCCAGCAGCATCTTCTTTAGTGCATCCACCTTGGTGGTGCCAGGAATGAGCCGGTCCAAAACTCTGTACCAGCCTCCTACCACAGGGCCCTGAAAGGAACCCCCAGAGAGGTGAGCGGGGATGTGGAGGGGACACCAGGATTTTACATCACAAAGCTGCAACCTCAAATATTAGAAACCAACCCCCAAGGGGAGCAGACACTCAAGGATGGCTTAGATGTGAGAGGGTCCAATGGAAACCAAAGGACAACAAGGAACTGAGACCACTGTCCAACACACCGGCAGCCCTGCTGTCGGCAAAACTTACCACAAAGCCACAGCCCAAGGAGGCCATGGTCAGGGTCCGGCCAGCCTGGTGTGCCCGCAGACCTCGCCTCTCCACCAGCTGCTGTGAGATCATGTCACCCAGGCCCATCAGAGACCCTGTGCGGGGTACACAGGTGTCATCAGGACACCTCCCAGGGACAAGCTGCCATCCCGAGGAGGGAGGTAAGTCTACTGAATGAATAAGGCTCTGGCACTCTGAGGCCCAGGGCTTCAATCTGGGGCAAATGGCCAGTCCCTTCCCACTGCTTCTAGAATGGTGACACCTCCCCAAGGATGGTGACACTTCACATGTGTCCTATTAGAAATTAGGCTGAGCAGCCTGGAGCAGGCCAGGGCCAAGAACCCTGCAGTGAGCAGTGAAGAGAAGTTAGCCTCAGAAACCACAGGTAGAGGAAGGAGAATCCAAGGTTCTGGGGGCTGAGAAGCACTGACTGTCGGAACTGGAAAGGCCTTCCAGATATTTTTGTGCAAACCCCTTATTCCAGAGGCTTGGAAATGAAGGCCCAGGAGTTCACAGAGTCATTAAGTGGCAGAGCCAAGAAGAACCAGGTGGCTTGATTTCCTAGACGGTATTCCTTCCAGAATGCTGTACTATGAACAGATCATGTGCAGAATGATAAGGAACCCTGTGGTTTTTTTCTCCTCCGCTGAAGGCAAGACCCTGCCCAATGTCCTTCATCTTGGTTTTGGGAGTTCTTTTTGTGGAGAACAGCAAGAATAACTCTTTCTAAAGCTGAAGTACTCAAATGATCCCAGGCAGGGGATGATTGGCTGAGCTGCTAAGAGACCCTGCAAGGAAGGGTCTGGTCACCTCCCAGCACAGGCAGGTCGACCCAGACTTCCCATTCACAGTCTCAAACTGAGCCGCCAACAGGCATGAAGGGCATCTCTCCTCAGGTCTTTGCACCTGCTTGCCCCCCCCCCCCCCCGCCCATTTGCACAGACACCCAGCTCCAAGTAGCACTAGTTGGACACCCACACCCAGAAACCAAGACAAATCATCACTGTTTACAGAGCCCCCCCACCCCGCCCCGTTGGTAATGGTGGGTGATGGTTTCTAGCAAACACACACTTCTAGGGCCACTTGCGAGCAACCGTATGACCTCCAGCTTGCCCGTCCATCTCACTGAGTAATGAGAGCCCCCTCCAGCCCCGCAGCCACCACCTTCCCTGTGCCCTCAATTAGCCCTGGGCAAACACATCCTCATCCTTCAACCCCACTTCTTGGCCCGGAGCTAGTGCTGACGTCTGTGCTGGCTGCATACTCACTGCTCCCCGCCCCACCCCCCACAACGCACCCCCGGAACAGCCGTGCCCATGCAGCCTCGTCAGAGGCAGCTGAGTAAGGCTGCGAACTGGGGCACCCACAGTGACCAAGGCTGCTGGCCTCAGCCACTGGGACCCCTAGCACACCCATCAAGGGAGCCCTGCCTCTCCTCTCCCTGAAACTCCTGAAGTGGTAGAGGCTCTTCCCAAAACATGGCTAGCAGGGACAGAATCCTAAACGTGTTTGTTCTCTTATCCCCCACATCGAGCCTGGCAGGGACTCAGAAAATAACCAAGGAGAAATGTCAAATGGACCACCCCAGACAACAGGACTGCCCTGGGAAGGACACGGAGAATGCTAAGTCTGGCCTGAAGGGTGCACACTGGCTCAAGGTGTGAGAAGCAGTGGGGCTGAAGATTTCTCCCCCTCCATGCAGTTAGCACTTAGCTCCCTGTCCCCTCTAACAACCTGGGGTCACCAGCTGAACACTCAGGGAAAGGAGGGAGCTGCTGTGGCCATGTGACCCTGAAAAGGCCCAGGGAGGGTGGAACAGGAATAGAGTTGCTGCTTAAATGAAAGGACTAACAGTTTGACATTCTACTTTGGCAAGATGTTTACAGTATACAAAGGACTCTCACACATTTAATCTTCACAAAAGGTCTGGAAGATAGAGGTTACCTCTTCACTGAATGTCTTTGAGAATGAGGTGACTTGGTAAGGGAGAGAGCTGGGCCCTGAACACAGGCCTTCTCTCAAGGGGAAATGGGAGGCCAGGAATTCCCAGCAGAGGCAGAGACCTGGGCTCAGGTGCCAGTAGGCACAGAGAGGCTCCTGTGGCTTCAACTCACAGGAGCTTCCTGCCCAAACAAGGGCCCAAAGGCCCGCATATCAGACATTTCCTGGATTAACACACTTCCTGTCTTCTACTCCCAGAAAGTGAACCCCTCTGCTTCCTGTCATCCTGTGGGGAGGGCAAGCAGCAATACCCTTGGGAATGAGAGTCGCAAAGAGACGTGTGTTTTCACTCTTCGTGGCTTACCACAATCACACAACATGCTAAAGGCACAGCAGGAGTGAAAACCCAAAGTCCCTGACTTGTAGCCAGGTCCTGGAAGCCTGCAGCCTTGGAGAGAAGTGGATTTCAGGCCCCCAGACCATGACCATCAGGCCTGAGACGTTACCAAGTGAAAGGGCAGCAGCAGGAGCGAGGTGGTATAGAGCCTGTGGCCCTGTCTGTTCTGTCCATTTCAGACAGAACCAAGCCCAGTTCCTTCTCTGCATACGGACCATCAGGCCCCCTGGGCCAACAGCAGCTCTAGCGCAGTCTAAGGCTCTGGTCTAAGCCTGCATTTCTGGTCCAAGTGATTGTGTGAGCAGGAAGGGCTGGCATTCGGATTCCTCATCCCACTTTCCCCAACCCAAAATCCAGACCCAAACCAACCTAGGCTCGGGGCGTCCTCTTGGACCCATTTGGTTGGTCTGGACCCTCCAGTGCTCTGGCTTTCCTTTCCTTGGCCTTGTTTCTGGGGGATCGGAGCTGGGGGCCTGCAGAGACATAATGCCTGAGCCCCGATGGGGCAGGACAAGGGGCTGCTGGGCAGTGATGCCCCAATGCCAGGCTGGGCATAGAGCCCAGTGGGCAGACGCTGGCGCGGCTGTGACATCATGCCCCTGGGTAGGTGCCAGTTCTCATGCCGTCACTCACCACCGGATTCAGCAGGGTGATGGGGTAGGGGTTGGAAGCGCCTGCCTCTGAACACAGATCTATCTGGGACCACCCTCTGCCAGCAAGTGGAAAAACCCCAACTTCCCATGCCCTCTTCCAAGGCACAGGTGGGGGTAAATTATCTACTTTCCCTGTTTTGTTCCTCTCCTGGCTTTTGTGTGTAGAATCTTAGATGCAGGAAACTAAAGTATGAATGGAAAATGAAGAAACTGAGGGGCAGGAAGTTGGAATGAGGAGCAGGAAGGTGTCCTAGACTATGAGAGGCCTGGGTTAGCAGGTATAGCTGCTGGCAGGGGGCCCGAGGGCCGTCTCACTTCTCTCCAGAAGTCTCCACAATTAAATAGCTGCCTAGGGGTAGGGGCTTGGTCTGGCAGGGCCCCGAGGGAGCTGAAGCCCAGCAGTGAGAGGGCAGTGCCCTCCCCACCGTGGCCTGAGCCCCTCTCACTGCTAAAAAATAAGACACATGGAGAGTTCCACAGCTTCTCAGGAACCTAAGCCCAGACCAAGCAGGGTTAGTGCCCTGGGGGTGCCCCCTTCTAATGGCAGCTCTACCAGAGACCACAAAACTTCACGCATGTCCCTCCTCCCTTATGCCTTGGTTTCCTTCTTAGTCTCAGGGGTGGGGCTGAATGTTCTCTTATGTCTGCAGAGCTTGCACATTCAGACTCCAGGGAAACCAGTGTCTGCAGAAGCTTCCACAGCAGCACTAGAGTGGCCCGAGATGGATGGAGCGGGGCCCTGGGCCCACTGGAGGCTGGAAGGGCCCTCAAAAAAGGAGGGGAGAAGGCTGATTCAGACTCTGCCCCAGCTGCCTTGTTCCTGACTCTGACTTGGCTCAAACTGGGTGTATCAGACACTTCTTTTGAACCAACTCAGATCTTTTGATTCAATCATCTCTTTCAGTCACCACTGCAGTTCACCCGATAGGTCTTTGTCCTGAGACAAGGGGCTCACATTTGAGACAAGCTCCATTCCTCGGGCAAAGCTACTGATGGGGGGAATGGTGCCAGGGCAGTGTGGTAGAGCACAGAACACGGGCATCCATACTCCATGTGGCAAACCTCTGACCAATGTAGGATGGAGCCAGTGGATAAAGGTTTCTCCTTGTCTCCAGAAAAGACTATTCACCCACAGACCCTAAGAGGCATTTCAAAAGAGCCTCTCAGTCAGTTATAAGGGGGTGAGTAGCCATGGGCCCTAAGTAATGTCCATTTGATAAAGCATCCTTATATTGACTGTCCCTTTCCCCCTTCTCCCCCCTTGGGATTATTTCCTACCAAACTACCTGCACTGATGCTTCAGACTCTACTTTCTGGAGAGCCAAGGTAGATGGCTATCCAAGTCCAATTTTACAGCAAGTGGAACAAACCCAACCCAAACACCACTACAAAAAGAAGAGCTTGCTCTGCTTGGCGTGCCAACACTCAAATAAAGGCCAAACTCCTGGAACCTTCTAAGTTTCTTGAGCATTTTTTGATTTCTAAAGCCTTTTCACACAGGCAATCCCTATACTGACTCTGTGAGGTCATATAACTAAATTCAAATTCTAAATGAGGAAACAAAGGCTCAGAGAGGTTTATCGTCTTGTCTTGACTGACAAAGCTACTAAGAGTTATGGCTCAGAGATTCAAATCTTGGTCTTTGAGCTCCAAGTCTGAAATCTCTATTCTGTTTTCCAGTGTGATGAGCTATCCCAAGGGACCTTAGGAACTACTGTGCTGGGATCTAAAAACAGCTCAGTGAGCTAAATCCACCGCCCCTCTTTATTTGCAGTTTGATTTGAATACACTGAGCAGCAGGGAAGGAAGAGTCTGAAAGGTTTGGGAAAGTCTGAGGAAAGTGTTAACTAGAGGTTACTTCAGGTTGAGATGTTGGTACAGCCTCAGGAAGATTGGGAGTGAGGAGCCCCAGGGCTCCAGAGCCAACCACCAGTATCCCCAGCTCGACTACATAGCTGCATTTGGACCTCTTGGAGCTCTAGCTCCTACCTTGATCCGCTGCAGATCCCTTGGGGAGGGAAACACAAGGACAGTCCTTCCCCTCCCTATTCCTGATGGCCACGAGGGAGAGAGGGAGAACCTTCCTTCCGGCAGTTAGGGTCCCCGAGGGAATCTGAGGCTGGGCAAAGGGCCCAGCGTGTCAGTTCCCATCACAGCCACCCAGTCCAGCATGAGTCACCACACGCGCAGCCAGGTGAGTCATGCTGGCTGACGGACACTCCGAGGACAGGATGGAGGGTAGCTAGGCACAGGAGGCTGGAGAGGGGCCCAGGGAGGGGCAAGACTCCTTGGCCAGTCTCTGAATGAAGCTTCTAGTGCTGATGTGGGGCTATTCCAGTAGAAGGATTGCTGTTGTACTCTGGCTTTCAGTAGTCCCCTCATCCCCCACCCCTTTTAACAATCTTCCTCTCAGAAGCCCACAGTCCTCATCAGAATCTTGTTCTCTTCCTCTAAACATAGGCAAGACCTCACCATAACCTTGTGACCCCTGCACTGCCCCAACAGTCACAGGCCTTCCAATCCCTCCCACCATAAAACAAAGCTTCATGACATCTCCTCTCATGGTAGCTAATCTGCAAAATAAAGATGATAATACAGGTAAATCACTGGGTTACCTTTGTGAGGTCACTACTCCATCACTGGATTTAGAGTAATAATAAAACCTCGAATAGTATATTGTTTGAGGATACATCCATAGATAGTAAAACTATAAGACAAGCAAAAGAATGATATTAAACAAAATTCAGGAAAGTAATTATCTCTTGGGGTGTATGAATGAGGGACAGGCATTCAAGGGGTCTCAAAGCTGGGTGCAGATTCAGGAGTTTTCAGTTGTTTTATTTAAATGGTACACACATATCTTCATCATTCTTTTGTGTGTTAAGATATATTTCCCAATAAGAACAATACTAACAAAAATACACTGGGGTAAGAGTCTGATTCTAGCACTTATTAGGTGTAGGATCTACCATGGACTCAAGTAATCCCCACACACTGACCTTGTGGGGACCCATGTGTGTTGAAAGTGCTTTGCACATTGTGAATTGTTAAAGGAGCCTTTGTGACTGTTCGCTTTCTAAGTTAAGGGCTCCTGGGGCTAATGCCTTTGTCCTAAAGAGATGACCCTTCAGGTCTGTGAGGACTTTCAGATCCTATGTTATAGCGAGGTCACCTATGCATACTCCTTTCCTTATAAACAGACTTGGGGACCCTCCCTCCAAAACAGACTGGGGTGAGAGCCAATCTTTCAAGGAGGTTGAACAGAAGCAAGAAATGAGGTGAGGGAGTGTGTGCAGCAAGCTTCTCTCTGGTACCACCTAGGTCCCACAGGACACTCACCAGCTGTCAGGACCTGTACTTTCCATGGGTGAGCAGTCAGAGCCCGCTGGTAGGCCCGCCAAAGTGCCATTTCCTGCCAAGCCAAGAGGAGAGGGGGGTCACCCCCACTGCCCCTCATTACAGTTAAAGAGACTTTTGTTTCTCCCTTGTGACCACTCCTCCCACCCGCTCTAAAGGGGCAGAGGCTTTCTGGACAGCTTCCTGTCACAGGGGTCGCCTTTGACAGTCGGACAAGAGAAGAAGACTATAGGCGGCTATGGAATCCCCTGGGCTGCCACCCTCCACCCCACTCCCATCCCTGGAACAGAGCTATCTGGGGTCTCCGTCCGGACCACACAGGACACGTCTGCTCGGACTTTCATCCAGAACCTTGTGGGTCCCCAGATTCAGGCTCTTAGTTGGCACCAGGCAGCATCCTTCCAGAGCCCAACTCCACACCGGAAATAAGCTCCCTGACTCCCTGAACCTGCAACGGTCCCACGCACCTTAGGCGCTCGCGGGACGCGTCGCTATGAACCAGCGACCGAGAATCTCCAGCTACTCACCTGGGCGTGAGCGCGGCCTCTCCCACGTGACCTGAGCGGGCGGAGGGACTTCCGCCCCAAGTCCCGCCCTGTCCGCCCAGCTGACTGCTAGGCTTTCCCTCCGTCCGGGGCCGGAACAGGAGTGGACCCAGCCTTTGAAACCGCCAAGGATTCCTTCTCGTTCTGCGCCGGGTCTCGTTGCTGAGCCCACTAGCCCACCAGGGTCCCTCTACCTCCTTCTCCCCCTTCTCTCCTCGGTGTCAGGGCCTCTTTACCTGAATAGACCCTCACCTTTCCCGTGTCCTGGAACTGGCCAAGGTCCAGACGTAGTTCTAGGTCTCAGGAATCAGAGTTTGGAAACTTGTTAGCCATAATTATATGTGCGTCTGTTACTTTTTGAAAAATGTTAAGTTCTTCACTAGCCTCAACTGTGAACTCCTGAATGGGTGGAACTGGGTCTTGTTTCGGGTTTGTCGTCCTCCTAGCCAACTAGTTCAATGTTTTGTCCACAATAGCCTTTAGAAATGCTGCGTAAAGATGACTCTTCCATGGAAAGCATTAGGATTATAGAACCTCAGGTTTAGGCGCTGGTTTCATAACTAAGCGGGCTTGCAGCCTTGGTCATCCCTAGACTTGAAGTTCCTCATCTGTGAAATGGTTTTCACACTGGGCTCCTCAATTCAGTTCACTCAGTCGTGTCCACCTGTTTGCGACTCCATGGACTGCAGCACGCCAGGCCTCCCTGTCCATCCACCAACTTCCGGAGCTTACTCAAACTCTTGGTCATTGAGTTGGTGATGCCATCCAACCATCTCATCCTCTGTCAACCCCTTCTCCCGCCTTGTCTTTCCCTGCATCAGGGTCTTTTCAAATGAGTCAGTTCTTCGCATCAGGTGGCCAAAGTATTGGAGTTTCAGCTTCAGCATCAGTTCTTCCAATGAATATTCAGGACTGGTTTCCTTTAGGATGGACTGCTTGGATCTCCTTGCAGTCCAAGGGCTCCTCAGTTTTACAAATTTATAGATGTTTGGGGAGAGGGGTATCACAGGTTCTTCATCTCAACTTTTAAAAATATGTATATATTTCTAAGGGCTTCCCATATAGCTCAGTTGGTAAAGAATCCGCCTGCAATGCAGGAGACCCCAGTTTGATTCCTGAGTTGGGAAAATCTGCTGGAGAAGGGATAGGCTACCCACTCCAGCATTCTTGGGCTTCCCTTGTGGCTCAGCTGGTAAAAAATCTGCCTGCAATGCAGGAGACCTGGCCAGGTTCAGCCCCTGGGTTGGGAAGATCCCCTGGAGAAGGGAAAGGCTACCCACATAAAAATATGTATTTCTAGAAAACCCACATTTAAACAAAGGGGCCCACAACTACAAGTGTTTGGAAACCAATAGATTAGGTGATTTCCTAATCTCTTTCCAGCTCTAACATTTGTAACAGTTTGTGAATATACTGCAACATTCTTTCTAGGGTAGTAGAAACTTTGCAAGATCCCTGGCAGATGTCAGCCTGGCACCCTTTGCTTAATTATCCCCAGGGAGCTCACACTTCAGGAGGCAGCCTTGTCTGACTCGGGCTCTTTACCTGACTAGCTCCAGTCCCCCATTTACACAATTCCTGTATGATTAAGGCAGGGAGAATCCTGTAAGAGATACTGGAGAAATGCAGTTAGGAAGTAAGAGAATTCAATGTCACAAACTTTTAACTAAAGGTTTCTATACACAAAACACCATGCTAGAGGAATTTATACTAGTAAATGTAATAGGAGACCAAATGTGCCAAGTTGGGAAGTTGAAGTCAGACTACCACCACTCAGCAGTTCTATGACCTTCTTCGGACTGCTTAAGCTCTCAGAATCTTTATCAAGTGAAATGGGGCAATATTGACTTTTCAGGGTTAAATTAAGTAATATATGTTAAAGTACTTGAAATAGATCAAGTGCCTAACATATATTCATTTAGCATCATTTCCTTCCCCTTGGGTACACATGGGAGAGAATAATTTTTACTGGAGAAATCTGGGAAGCCCTTTGGTGAAGGTGGAATCTGAGCTGGGACCTTGAACAATGAATAGTACTTAGGGGGAGATGGTGGAAAAGGACATTCCAAGAGGAGGGACTAGTAAGAGCAAAGGCACAAAGGAGGAAAAGTGCAGGAACCCATGGATAAGAAACGGTTGGAAGGGGAGTGGCCTGGGGAGTAAATGGTTTATGGTAGAGAAAGAAAGCAAGGGATGAGAGCATTTTCCTGATTTTCTTTTGGAGGCTGCCGAACCAGCAGCATGAGCAGGGCTGCCAATACCAGCCTACAGCCTCAATGCCAAGTGTCCCCAGGCCCCATCTTTCTACCACTGAAAGTGGGATTTCATGATGTAGTGCCAAGGGGCTACTATGTAGAATGAACAAAGCAACACTGCAATGGAAAGCACTTCCTTCCAACCTTCACAAAAACAAACTGGCATAATCTGAGCTAGCACAATAGGATGGTGCAATACTTGGCACTGATTGTGAGTTGTGGTCCCTCTGCTGCTAATGGTCTGGGTTTCCTCCAGGTCTGTTTCCTCTTCTGCACAGGGAAGGAATTGAGCTACTTGATTCCTTTCCCCTTAAAGGAAATTTTCTGACATATGATAGATTCTTCACTGAAGAGGCAGAAAGTTCTTCCCAGATATTTGGCCAATCAGTCTAGGGTTTTATTCCAAGAAGGCACTGAACTAATCTCCACTCCCTTCAATAGGAGCTGGCTGTGTGCTTTTCTCTACTTCCTGAAGTCATCTGACTCTTCCCCTGCCCCCACAACCAAACCTCAGGTTATACTCATACATTCAAAGACTACTGTTTGCCTAGTTCTCCTTGGCGGCGGGGGTGGTCCATCCTTGCTTAACAGGCAATATTACGGTCACTGTGAGTCGGCAACATCCCACAAGAGGACTCTTAACAAGATGAGATATACTACTGTGCTTGGATTTTAAATACCTCCTATACAGAGAATTGAAATAAAGTAGCTAAATATGTTTAATAAGTCAACAACGTGACAAAAGGATCAAAAATCATGACGGGTAAAAGAATGGTTAAAGTAATTGATGATATTTAATCTAGAGAAGAAAAGACTTGGGAAACACATGATAGCTATTTTTAAATACTTAAAAGAGCAATCACAGGGAAGAGTGACTAGATTTCCTAACACCCATGGTAAAATGTATAGAGGTATACTCTTTGACTTGATATAAAGGAAGATTTTAAAAACATGACTGTCTAGGAGTGCTCAAGAAGGGTCAGATGACCAGTGATTGGGAATATTTCATAAGTAGGAGCAAGTAAGATCTGAGCCACTCTTCTGTTGGCAAGGTGTCTGTGGTGTGTTAGGAAGTCCTATAAGCAGCTTCAGTCCAATGAGTTACCATCACCTGCTCGTGGGCCTGTGTGTTGGGTACTCTAAAGAGGAAGTTAGGAAGGCAGTAATATTGGATCCAGAATATAGTCAGACAGGAGCCTTCATGCAGATACCCTTTCCAGTTCTCCAAACACCCACTCACATGTGGTCTCAAAAACACCCAGTACCTTTACTTAGCTTTACCCACTTCACAATATGCTCAATATGAGCAATTTGACTCCCAAGCCTAGGTCAGGCTGAGTGTTTCTTGTGAGTCATAGTTTTATGCTGAGACTTGAGAGTTTGTGGAGGGAGAACCCCCCTGCCCGCGGGGGGCCATGATGACAGGAGAAGTCTGTGGAAGGAGAGGAATCTAAGGGGTCCTGGGGAGGCAGGTCTAAAGATCCAGGCCTGGCAGCATCACTGTCCAGGAAGGCCCCAGTTCCTATGGCTGTGTGCTCGGAGCCAACTTCGGCAGACTTCATTCCAAGGGTCCTGTGGGGACCATGACTAAGGACCGGGCAGAAGGCAATGGCTGGTTGGAGGAAAGCCAGGCCCTGGAGAGGGGGAGGCCAGCTGGAACATAGCACTGAAATGGGCTCGGCTTTCAAGCTGCATACGGTGGCCCAGTGGACAGGTGAGTCCACGGACAAAATGGATCCGAACCAGCCCCGACTGCCCTCCAGAGACCAGCCATCCATAGGAGTCCAGGTTTGGACTGAAACGTACCTGTGAAAAGAAAAGAAAACAAAAGCAACGCTCAGAGTTGGTACTTCAGGGTGAGTCCGAGCTGTAAGAGCAAAAAGAAGGGCCTCAATCTGAAAGAACAGGACCATGATGGGGTGAGAAGCAGGATGAGAAGACCGTGAAGAAGGCGTCTGTCATGCTCCGGAGGATGAGCGTGTGGAGCTGTTTCCTCTCCTGCACCATCTGTTGCCTTTTCCTCTCTGATTACATGGCTCACAGGCCCAGAGTTGGGAGGAGATGAGATGAAGGACAGGAAGATGAGCGGTAAGGTTCCTACCTTGTGAATAGCTTCCAGCTGCAGCCGGTCCAGGCAGAGCCGTGTTTGCCCCTCTCCCTCCTGCATGCGCAGCATCGGTTCTCTGTGGGGCAGACCGTGGAACGAACGCTGGGGAGGAGGGTACGAGAGGAGAGAGAAAGCGAGCAGATTCTTAGTTTTGCATCTTTGTGCTGCAACTCCTCCGGATCCCCTGCTATACAAGGACTCACGTCTTCTACGTTTTCTAATGCTGCACCCATTCTCCTGGCCTCAATTTACCAAATCTGTGTCTTGAAACAGCAAGTAGTGATGGTTGACCGTTTCAGCGTAAGTTCGAGCCTTGGGAGGGTTGGGGGCCCCAGATGAAGCAGAAGTGTGGTCTTGACCTTCAGGACTGTCCTGATATGGTATCAGATCTGCTTTATATATAGGCTAGAAAGAAGAATGTGAAATTAGGTCCTGTAATACTGAAGACCAGATAAAAGTAAAAGAGAGAAAATTGGTTTGGAGCAGGAAAGACTTTAAGGTAGAAGAAACGGGAATGTTTAAACCTATGTTCAGCTACACAAGGGTAGGAGAGATTATGTACAACTCTATGCTAAGACTTCTAGGGAGAATACTGGGGCTGGGAGACTCTTCTGCTACTTGGCAGCACTAATTTGGGAGGTCAGGTGGATTAGGACCCAACAGATGGTGCTATTAAATATTCATATACGTACGAATCTTCGATCTAAAGGTCGCTTGACATTTGTTGGGTTCAGTGCCATATCAGGCAATATAGCTGCAATGAGCTCTCCAGATATATCTCCTGCGGCTATTGTCCCGAGCCAGTCAGATCCTGAAAGACTCTAATAGGAGAGACAGATATTTGTTGTTCACTCACTCACTTATTAATTCAGTTCTGTGAACTGCTAACAACTGCACAGTCTGAGGGGAGAGACATAGTCACATAAACAAGCATAAATCATTTTAACATAATCCATATCCTTGATGACAATTACCACACACCTATTTTCTCTTTCTTTCCAAACCTATGGCCTCTTTCTGACCACCACTAGGAACTATTTGCCTGCGTATACTGAAGGTTTGGAAGAGAGGGGCTCACCCAGACAGTGCCTTTTCGAGGAGCAGTGAAATAGGCCTTGAAACCAAGGTAACCAGCATCAATGTAGTGAATTCCACAGAGTCCATAACTGTAAGAGAAAAAAGAAAATCTTCCTTTTTCTAAGATTAGACTCATTTCTTCCCCAGAATCCAGACTCCCTCAGTGAAACAACCCTCCTCTCCCCACAACAATCTGGCACAGTGCACCCCAACCCTGAGGGCCTGTCCCCAGTGCTCATCCTCTCTCCATCTCGCCGTACGAGGCATAGCAGTTGTCCTGAGCCACAGTGACACCATTGTAGGGGAGCAGCCAGGCCAGCTCTGTACTCAAGAAGCGCTTGATAGAATTTATTGGTTCATAAGGTCGTCGAAGGTCCCAGAATTTGATTTTCCGGTCACTCCCTGCAGAGGCTAGGAAATGACTGTGGGAAGACGGGAGAAGATCAAATCTGAACAACTCTGGAAGAGTCAGCCTGTCCTCACCTCCCACCTCCACAGCCGCCCCTGTTCAATACCTGTTAGCTTTGCACCACTGAAGAGTACGCACAGCCTGGTCATGGGCTAGGAAACACTGGAAGGGGTAGAGCTTCAAGGAGCCATCAGAGAGCCGTATCCGCTGCAGGGGTGAGTTCGTGGGAAGGTTCCATAAAACCACCATGCCTGAGGGTCAGGACAGAATATGTAGGTGTTAAAGTCAGGTTATTGCTTCCCTGGGGGCTCAGTGGTAAAGAATCCACCTGCCAATGCAGAAGATGCAGGTGACATGGGTTTGATCCTCTGGAGGAGGAAATGGCAACCCACTCCAGTCTTCTTGCCTGGAAAATCCCATGGACAGAGGAGCCAGGCAGGCTACAGTCCATAGGGTGGCAAAGAGTTGGGACACGACTGAGCACAGCACATAATAATCTCTTTTCCTTGCTCTAATTTCTTTCTCTGGCTCCTAGGACCTATGTCTTCTACTCTCAGATCAGATCCCTTACGATGAAGGGATCATGATTAGCTAGCCAACATTCCCTCCATGATTTAAAGACTCAACCTGATATTTTTAGTTCCAGTGCTCATCAACATAAAATAGCTTAGTTTGAGATCTACCATTGAAAGACAAGTTGAATGCACCCAGTAAATAAAAGTCAAGGTTTTTTTTTTTTTTTTTTTAAGGATAAACCCTTTAGGACAAGGGTTGGCAAACTATAGCCCGTGGGCCAAACACAGCTTGCTGCCTGTTTTGGTAAGTTAAGTTTGACTGGAACATGACCACACCCATTTGTTTTCCTGAGGTCTGTCTGCTTTCACTTTACAATGGCAGAGTTGGATAGTTCCAACAATGGCCAAACAGCCCACAAAGCATAAAATATTCACTGTCTGAACCTGAACAGAAATGTTTGCCAACTCTACTCTAAGGCAAAGAGAACAGGCAAAGAGCCAAAAGCAACATGTAGAGGAATAGAAAACAAATGGACAAACTAACTGGGCTGATCCAAAGCAAGCTGACTAGCCTGGCAGAGGATGAGGTAATTAAAAGTATAACTTTGATCAATGTAAAAGACATCCCTTTTTTATACAGAAACTCAGTAAATGTAACACCTATGAGCCTTACTTGAAAAAACTTGACAGTGAATTACAGCTAAGCAATATAAATAACAGAACCATGGAGAGGAAGCCTGAGATGAAAGGTCTGGTGGAGACAGGCACTCTTTTCAATATAGAGTTAAGATTAAGTAATTCTGGGAATTAAGATGGCAAAACAGCATCAAGTATCACATACCTTGATAATGTAAGAATAAGATCACCAAAAGGGACACAGGAGATGGTGAGAGGGATGAGAGGAAGCAGGGTAAGAGTGCTAACTTCCTCATCCCCAGCAGAAAGTCTACTGGTGTGCCTAAAAGTGAAACTGTTATTTACAAACAGTAACAACTGGGAATTCCCTGCTGGTCCAGTGGTTAAGGATTCACTTTGCAATGCTGGGGATTCGGGTTCAACCCCTGGTTGGGGAATTAAGATACCACATGCCACAGAGCAAGTTAGTTGAGCCCTTGTGGCACAATTAAGAGTCCATGCACCACAAGGAAGGATCCCACATGATGCAACTAAGATCCAATTCAAACAAATAAAAAATTAAAAACAGTAACAACCTAATGATACCAATTACTTAATATTATTTATAATTTTTTATTCTTTTCCTTTTTAATCTTAAAAGTATCTTTATGATCCCATTTTTATAGAATTCTTTCTTTCCATCTAATCTTTTTATCTTTATATATGCATAGAGAACAACAAGAAATGATGTTTATCTATTCTTAATTTTTTTTTTTCTGAGTGGAAAGTCAGTGATATTTTTCTCTTCTCTGTATTTTTTCTACACACACAAATATTTATAACTACATAATGTTGAACACTGAACCAAAAGGGAAACAACAACCAAAAAACAAGCACATATAAAAGTTTAAAGAGCAATAGTTCCCTATGTTTTGCTTTGTTTTTTACCATTGTAATATCCAGCAGCCAGGTGGTGGTGGGGCCGGGTGGGCATCCAAGCCAGGCTAAGGCACTGACCACACTCAGAGGGGTCTGAAGCTTGCATAGACCCTACCTGGAGGGTTGCCACACATTGAACCTGCAGGGACAGAGAGACAAGACCAGGGTTAGGGATAACTACTGTCTGGAATGAAGGCTCAAATCAGTGTTTAGTCAGCACGGGGTGGGAGATTTTCCAGAGGTAGGAGGAGACTCACTGTAGAATAGGTAAGGGAGGCTCTAGAAGATGGAGCCTCGGCTAAGGGAGCAGGCTCCTCACTCACCTTATAGATGGCAGGCTTCACTGCATCTGTGAGGAAGAAGAGCAGAAACTGAAGTTCTGGATCCAAATGGCTGGGGGCCCAACCAGGCTGAGCTCACAGACCAGCACCCCTGCGCTCTCAACAATGCCCCTCCTTTTCACTTTTCTCTTGCACCATCAGTGTGTGAACTTGCCTCTGCCTGCCCCCCAGATCCATCTTTCCTCCTGTTCTACCTGACTGTGCCTTTCCTCCTATAAGAATGGCTAATCTCTCCACTCTGCTCTCTTCTCATCCTCTTTCCTTGTCCAGAGCGTGGCTCATCTGATCTCCGCTCTTCTGCACTCTCCACTTTCTCTCCCGCTATTGGGTCACTCGCAAACACAGAAGTAAAACATGCACTCTTGTCTCTGGTTAATCAAATGAACAAACCAAAGCCTTCCTTTACCCCTTATTTTGACCATACCTCGTGGCATGTGAGACCTTAGTTCTCTGTCCAGGGATTGAACCTGTCCTCCTTTGCATTGGAAGGGCGGCTTCTTAACCACTGGGCTGCAAAGGAACCCTCCCCCTTTACCCATCATTCACCTCCAGCCACCACCCTCATTTATTATGATCTCCTTCACAGCCTAACATCCTGAAAGAATTGTCTGTACACCTCTATCCTCACTTAATTCTCACTCAATCCCTGCCTAACACCAGAAACCACTAAATAGGGGATTTCTCAGGGTTCAAACCTAGGGGCCCTCTTCTTTAAACATGCAGTACTGTTGAAAAACAAATAAATTTAATCAAATGGGAGCTGCCTTTCTCTGCCCCTTCCTCTTCATGCTCACCTTCAGCTCCAATTCTCCTTCCCTTTACAACAAAGAGCGTGTTCTCATGTATGTGTGGTGGTGAGGGCAGGAGAGGTGAGGACAGGGTTGGGGGAGGAAGAGGAGTATGGCAGGAGACAAGCCCCAGGCACCAGCCTCAGCCTGCGGCCGCTCCTCACACAGCCAGTTAACTGGGGCAGTAAGAGGGCGAAGACGTGAGAGTACAGGAGAGCACGGAAGTGGAGATCAAAGACAATGTGCTCAAAGAGGGCAGTTACGAGACTGCAAAAGAGAGGACCGCGTGCAGGCTGCCAAAGACAGAAGTAAAAGAATGGGGAAGAATGAGGTCAGAATGGGAGGAGGGACAGGGCAAGGCTCTGCACTGGAGACGCTGGGCCTGGAGGAGTTTCAGGCTGGGGTTGGGGGTGGACAGGCCCTTCTATGCTCTGGCCCACAACTCCAGCAGCCCCAGCCTCCTTGCTATGATACTCACCTAGGGGCTGCTGAGCCAGCAGGGCCTCAGGATGGGGCAGACTGAACAGCAGCACCTTCCCATCTGAGCAGGCAAGAGCCAGGAGACCCAGTCGGGGCAGGAGAGGTGCCTAGAGGGTGAGACAGATCTGCACTGAGACTTGCTGCTGGCAAGCATGTCTCAGAAAATGTGTGAGCTTCTGGTCGCTGAAAATCTGATGTGGAGTTGCTGAAAAACTCCACCCCCCACTCTCCAACTCTGGGAAGACCCAGGGCCCCTTTGTTCTGGCTGAGGCCAAGGGCCATCCCACAGTCAAGTGGGAAGTACCTTCCGAGGGGTGCCTGGAAGTTCCCATGCTCCACTGGGGCAGAACTTGAGGTCCCAGATGCAGCCGTGGTCACAAGCTATCCCGTAGACAAAGTGGGCTCTGTTGCCAAGACTGAGAGAGAGCATGTGCAGAGAATGGGTAGGAAGGAAGGGTCTGGAGCTTCCAGAGCCTGTGTCCCCCTTGTCTCAACCCAGTCTGAGCCTTCCCCTGCCCCCAGCCCAGACCCACCCTTATTTCCTCCTCCACCACTCTCCCCTGGCAGTGTCCCAGCCCCACCTCACCAGCTTTCTTGCTGCAAGGTCCCCAGGTCCCAGAGCTGGAGCAGCCCAGGGCCTGAATACAGCTGGCTCAGTGAGTGTGTCTCATTCATGTCAGGGCTGGAGAAAAGAGCCACATACTGCGAGGCTGCTGACCCCTCTGGCACGGGACACCAGTCCAGAGCCCAGAGCGGGCCCCCCGTGAAGAAAGACACATCTAGGCGCTCTGGGTGTGCTGTGATAGAGCTAAATCTAGAGAAAAGGCAAAGATGAAAAAAAGGTGCTAGTAAAGGCAGTAAGGACTTCAGCAGATGAATGGATAAATAAACTGTGATACATCCGGACAACGGAAAATTATTTGGCACTAAAAAGAAATGACCTATCAAGCCATGAAAAGGCATGAAAGAAACTTGAATGCACATTACTAAGTGAAGGAGCACACCTGAAAATGCCACATACTGTCTGATTCCAACTATAAGACATTCTGGAAAAGTTAAAACTATGAACACAGTAAAAAGATCAGTGATAACCAGAGGCTGAGGGTGGGAGAGGTAGGGGATGAACAGGCAGAACACAGAGTATTTTTAGGGCAGTGAAAATACTCTGTATGATACCATAATGATGGATACCTGTCATTAAACCTTTAACCAAACCCATGAAATGTATAACAGTAACAGTGAACCCAAAGAAAACTATGGACTTTGAGTGATTGTGATGTGTTGGTACAGGTTCATCAATCGAAACAAATGCACCACTCTGGTGAGGGATTGTTGATAATGGGGAAGGCTGTGCTTGTCAGGGGAGGGGGGAGGCTGGTGGTGGGGAGAGAGGGAGTATATGGGAACTCTCTGTACCTCCCTCTAAGTTTTGTTGTGAACCTAAAACTGCTCTTAAAAAAGAAAAAAAAAAAAAAAAAGGAATGCAGACAGAATGGGAGCGCCACCTGGAGCTCCTGACTTAAGCAAGCACCAGAACATCACTCACAGTCTACAAGTGAGACCAGTCCTAGCCACCATGTTATCTTCCTCCTTTCCTTCCCGAAGTCTGTCTAGCTCCAGGCTCACCTTCAAAGGTGACAGGCCATGCATTCTGGTTCACTACAGTGTTCACTCTAGGGCCAGTCTGTCCAGGTCTAGCTGAGTAGATGTGACCTTGAAAACTTGTTCCACCCTCAACCTCCCTAGGCTCCCTCAGTCTGGCCAGCAGAGATAAGCGCTGAAGATTAGAGGGGGTGAGCAGATATAGGTATCTTTCCTAGCCTTGGGACCAACTGGACCAGCACTCAGGGAGGAACAGGGCCAATCTCCCATCCCTTTTGACATCCAGATACTTCTGTCTCCCAGAATCAGAAAAAAAGAGATGCAACCGTCACCTGTTTATTCGGTAGAGGGTGCCATCTTCAGGAAGTCCTTCACGTTGTACAGAAAACAGCGGGGACTTCTCCTCCTGAGGCAGGTAGGGAGCTGCCTCACTGGGGGATGGCAAAGGGAACAACAGTCTAAATGAGGGAAAGTTTCACCTATACTGGGATTCCCATGATCAATCTAGAGTCCTCAGTTACCCTTCTGTCTCCAGGGGTGTCACCTGCTCCTAGATTTCAAAGATACCCCTTCAACTTACAGTTCAGATAACAAGCGCCACTTCCAGGCTAAAGGAATCCATTCCGCAAACTCCCAGTATGAATGCTTCTGATCTCGGCTGGAGAAGCAGAAGTACCATTAGTGAAGGAGGAGAGAAATTCCAGAGCAGTGCTGCCCCATAACTTTCTGTGAGGATGGGAGCGATCTGTTATCTGTGCTAATCTAACACACGAGCTGCAAGTAGCTATTAGGCACTTAAATGTGGCTAGAGTAACAGAGAAACTGGACTTTTAATTATATTTCATTAATTTTAAATGAAATTTAAATGGCTTCATGTGGCTTGTGGCTACCATATCGGACGGCACAGCTTGAGAGCTTCTGCCTTTGGAACAGTACCTTTGAGTTACAAGTGTCTTCCCCATGTTCTACCCTGCGGGTGCCTGCCCCCACTTCTCACAGCCCCACTGCTAGGCTGGGTCCTCGGTTTCCTTTGCTCTCCACCCCGACCTTTCATCCCCAGCTCCCATTCCCCAAGTCTCACATATCCTTGGTGAGATGAAGGCACTTCCAAACAGGGGCCATGATGTGATTTGGTAAACCATTGTGAGCCATTCCCCGGACGTGGGGCTTCTGCTTCTGAGGATCAAATTGAAGAAAATGTAAGTTAGAGAATTTTACAGGCTAGAGAAAGTCCCCAGGAGAGAGCTTTCCCAGCTTTTTCTTCTCCTGGTACTACTTGCTCACTAATTTTTCCCCTATCAGCATCTTAAAAGATTTGTATCTTAACCATTACAATGACCTCTCCATCTTTTGCTCTTACTTGTCCAGCAAAACCTGCTCTCTATTTTCTGTTCATATTCCTTGGTGCGTCTCTACAGCACTTGATTCAGAGCACTCCTATTTGCTTCCTGAAGCTCCTGCCCTGGGGGCAGTCTCTCCTTATTCCTCCCACCGCTATACCTTTGTAGTCTCTCTCTCCTTTGATGTTTAGTCACTGATGGTGTTTCCTAGAGTTCCTCTGTCTTCTCAACCCTCAATACATGTACTCCTGGTAATCTCATCCTTTGACTCATGGCTTTGACCCGCATTTTTATGCCTGACTGCATCTTAGCAAATGTAAACTTTACTCAGTCTCAACTTTTCTACAAAATCTAGACTCATACAATGTGGTGCTGAGTCATATTAGAACTTGAGGCAAAAATGAATATCACTAGTATACTTCCTGCCTTTATTGAAAATTTTTATATTTTCTTCATCATAGATTTGTTGCATTAATTTTGATTTTTAAAATGTTGCATTGAGACATTTATCTTTATTAGAGGGTTTTGGTGCTCCCTTAAATGTTGCACCTGGGAGGAGTAAAGCACTGGTCCCGTATATCTGACTGGCAACCAGATGTCTCCAGGAGGATGGCCCTTGACCCACTGGCCCCTCCAACCTGACATGTCAGAAAGTAAACTCATCACTTCACCTGTCCACCTTCACCCTTCCTGCATACCCCACCCTTTCTGTGTTCCCAAGTTCAGTGTATGAGAGCATCATCAAAGTTGGAAACTCCTACCCTTTCCTCGCCTTCAATTCCCAACTGCTATTAATTCTTTTACATATCTCTCGTATCTGTCTCCTCATCTTTTCTTCCTCCACTGCTTACTTTAGGCCCTTACCACCTCTCACTTAGAGAACTGAAGCTGTCTTCTCATGTCAACTGCAAATTAACCTATTTTCCTAACCGATCAAGTTCTTTTCCTACCTAAAAACTCTACCATTGCTGTATAGAGTTTCTGTTTGGGATGACAAAAGTTTTGGAAATGGATAGTGGTGATGGTTATACTACATTGTGAATGCACTGAATGCCCCTGAATTGTACATTTTAAAACAGCAAATTTTGTTATATCTATTTTACTATAATTATACATGTCCATACTCTTTGTTGGCTCCTACCAGTTTCATTTCTTTCATCCTTTCTAGCCTAATCTTCCCCACTTTAGCCCAGGCCCTATGCTGCAGGCCACAACCAATTTCTAGGAAATCATCCTCTCTGGCAAACTTCTGTTGCTTTCAAGACCTAACTCAACTAGCATTTCATTATGAAGTCTTAGCAGTTAACCATCCTTCCTCTATATGCCTAAAGCATTCTGTTCACTCCTGGTGCAGCATTTATTACACTGTAACCTTTGTAATGGAGGACCCTGTCTTATTCATGATTGTGTTTCCTAGCACAGAGGAGATGCTCAATGTATGAACAAATAATCTTGTTTAGTAACACCCTCAGCTCCCAGAATCTCAACTGTGTTTGAACTTGCTCTTTCTTAACTTTCCCGTTTTGGCCATCTTAGTTACTAGGCTAAAGCCTGCATTCTGGGCACCCTGATGATCCCCCCAATAATCCTCCTATTTCCCCCTCCACTTTCTTGTCCACTCAGGTTACCTGAGTAGATCCTCGGGTAGTGCTTCGGGGTGCTGCAGGTTCGGGGTCAGAAGAGTTCTCACTTGGGGCCTCGCTTTCTTCTGCTTCTTCAGCCTCAACCTGGAGAACGAAGTCTTCATCCCGTGTGGTATTATCCCCTTCTCCATGGAGACAGGCTGCCTGAGGCTGGATTATCTTCTGTTGGGTAGGGCTGCTCACCTGGGGGCCCTCCGGACAGGACACTGGAGCAGGCAGGGCTGTTGAGAGCTCTTCCGCCAGTTCCTGAAGATACAGAAGTGCCCTGCAGGACAGGGCGGAGTCAGAGCCACAGCACAGCCACTTCACCCAGAACCCACTCTGCCTGACACTTGGCTGATTCTCATCTCACTAGATCCTCCCAGTGACCGTGTGAAATGGCTATTAATTTCCCTTCCCCTTTGACAGATGCAGAAACAGAAATCCAGGAAAGTTAGGTGACTTGGCCAAGATGATTCAGATCACATATGTGGAATCTGAACCCAGGTCTTCTGACTCCAAGTCTGAAGCACTTCACACTCTACCACAGTCAGAAATCATTGAGGGAAAATGGAAAGAATGGAAGGACACATATATACTGACGTATACAGGGCAGTAAAACTGCAGTGAAGACTTGGAGGAAATAGTGAAAAATGTGATAGGATGAGGTACAGAAAGAAACCTCCCACAGACAGAATTTAACCACAGACAGAAACTGCTGTGGTAAGACCTAGAAGATTGCTCAAGTGCCCAGAACCCAGCACCACCCCTGCTTACCTGACACCTCACCACAGTCCACTCATCTCTCCAGCATCTGCCCCACCCCCACCCCTTCACCCCAGCCCCCCTCCACCAAGCTGTGCCCCACAATCCTTACACTTGGGCAGCCCTTCGGCGGGGTCGTTCCCCAGGAGGGGTCTCAAAGTCCTCAGGGGGCATCTTTGGATGTGGAGACTCTGGCTGATCTAGGCCTTTGGACAACTTCAGCAGTAGCAGATCTGCCTTGGACTTTCGACCTCGTTTCTTAGGCATGGGGGTGGACAGAGGGTTGGATTGATCTAAGAGACCAGGAACCCGAGGGGCTGATGGAGAATTAGGCTGCTGGGGCCTTTTGGGGCCTTTCCGTGTCCTACCACCTCTCTTCGGGCCAGGCTTTGAGGCCCTAGGCTTTGGGACCTTTGACATCTCTGAAGAAAGATCTGTAGAGAAGAATATGGGTCTGTGAGATGGGACCAGAGCTCAAACCTCTTTGGAACAGATTACACCATACCCAGGTTGTAAAGTCCTATGAGCTTGACCTGCTCTCATTCATCTTAAGCTGAGCATGGGGGGCTAAAAGGCTGAAAGGTCAAGGGACATACCTTGCTGTTGCAGTCTGGAGAGGCTTTCCTGTTCTGGAAGGAGCCTCCTCTCATCAAGAGAATCCTCATATCCAGGAAAAGGGGTAGGTAATGACATCTCTATGGAAGCCTCCACACTGGTTGTTTCTGAGGAGGCCTTGACGTCAAGCTGGTTTAGCACCTCTTGTCCAGGAGAGTCTACCACAGTCATGTTCCCCACGGGGCCGGCCTCCTCCAGAGCCATATAGCCGACCCCGTAGGTATCCATCAGCACCCCAAAAAATGGCTGCCCCTGCATGCAAGAAACATACAGATGACTATAAAGAAAAAGCTTCTGGTAAGAGCTCAGATTTTTCCACTTTCCTGTCTTTCTCATCATTGTTCCTCCAACCTCCCCCCACCTTCCCCACCAACCAGAAACCCAAACTCTGGTCATTCATTCATTCAGCAGTAATTCCTAAGCATCTTCTATATAACAGGCACTATTCTAGGAACTGGTAACATGACAATAAGTAAGGCAGACAAGGTGCCTGACCTCATGAAACTGACAATGAACAAACAATAACAAGCTACCATTTAGTAAATGCTTACTCTGTGTCAAGTACTATTCTAAGTGCTTTATTCAGATGATTTAAAGTGAATGAACAATTATTTAACCCTTTTCCCTGAAACCCAATGAAATAAATCACTCCTCTCTTTAAAAAAAAAAAAAAAAAAAAAAAATCACCTGTTATGAATGCAGGAAAGGGCCACAAGTTTCTAAAATAAACTATAAAGTATAGCTGCCAGATACTATAAAATTTAGATCAAACCGAAGGAGGACAGAATGACTAGAGCTAACATCCATCTTTGTGAATATTAGTCAAGGTGCAGATTTATTTAAGGATAGGGAATTTCTAGTGTCCTGCTAGCATTCTTTCAGCTGGATGGAGGAGGTGGTAGCCTATGAGACAATTAAGGAACATCCCTCTACATTAAGAAACTATTTAGACATTGAAGAATAGACTATTTTCTTCAAATCCAAAAAGTCAGCTATGCAACCACAGACCAAAGTAAACTGACAGAGATAAATAAAACACTGACCGCCACACCAAAAACCTGAGCAACAGAGAACTCTGCAAGGGCCCAGTTTGCAGCCAGAATAACCTACCTGTCTGTGACAAAAGGAAAGAAATAACTCAGATCAAAGAAGGAATCCCTCCATAGATCTGTATATGTCTTAAGGATGAAGAATTCCTCAGCCTCAGTGGAAAGTGTGTTAATACAAATACCATAAGAAATATCATACAAATTAAAATTTCCAGTTGTCTCTTTGGAAGAAGATATCCTTATAAACTATAGCAACAGCCAACTCTCTAACTCAGGTGCTAAGGATACATTATAACACCATATGCAAAAGATACAATATAACAATATCAAGGTAAATAGAGGCAATGAGACTCCACCTGCATAGTTCTCTTTGTTGCTGTTTAGTTGCCAAGTGGTATCCTGTTCTTTGCAACCCCATGGACAGTAGCCCACCAGGCTCCTCTGTCCCTGGGATTTTCCCTTCTTTCCCAGGAAAGAAGACCAGAGTGAGTTGCTTCCTTCTCCAGTAGGATCTTCCTGACCCAGGGATTGAACCTGCATCTCAGGCATTGGCAGGCAGGTTCTTTACCACTGAGCCACCAGGGAAGCCCACATTGTTCTCTGGTAAACAGCAAACCCTGAGAGAACTACTCCATTCAAAATCAGAAATAAGCAAAAAGGATCCAATGGGACCTATGCATAGTTGCTATAGAAAGAATAAAAAGGACTCAAATGAAAAAGGTGAAAAATACCGTTTCAAAGAATGTCTCTAGAAAACAAGAAATTTTCCAACAAAAACCTATATACTTTCAAAAAAGCCAGAGATGTGAAATTCAAGAAATAAGAGATCAAAGAAGAGATAAAACAATGGCAAGGCAAAAAAAAGAGTTGGTAGTCATAAGGAAAGAAACTGAATAAAAGATAAAATCAAAGAAATGAAAATCAGAGGAGAAGCAAAATGTTGAAACTACTGAAAAGACAATCAGTGGTATGAAAGGCGTTTGAGAGAAACCATGCAGACTATAAAGAGATAACGGTGACTAGTGAGAAGATGGTATGGGTGAAAACAGAAAGTGGGGAGCCAATATATGAATAATTGCTATTTCTAAAGAACAGAGAAAAAAAATGGGAACAGAAAAAAATGTTCAAAGACCTAACAAAAGAAAATTTCCTGAAATGAAAAATAGAATGTGTACTTCCCTGAAGTAAAGGAAGATCTCAGCCTAAAGTTAAAAGGGCTTATTGTATAAAAAGGACACAAAAATCAGTAAAGACTCATCAAGAAATATCTGAATGAAGACTAAATTTCTCCTACAAGTGGGGGTGGGAGAGAATCAGGTCAGCCTGGGAGTTCTTAGAAACATTTGATGCCAGAGGATAAAGAAACAAAAGGATCAAGAGAATTCTTAATTATCATTCATGTAAAGGTAACAGGATGACATTCTAAATATACAAGTTTCTACAAATTACAAAAGTAATCCTCCAAATAGAGGAAGGGTTGGGGGAAAAAAAGTTTAGGAACAAGTACTTGTCAAACTGAGAAGTGGTTCATAGCTGCTGGTTCAAGAACCACATGGCCTCTCCTCTGCTATGGTGGGGAGTCACAGCTGAATCAAGAAGCCCCTACAATAGGTGATGGCTCCATAAACAAACTGCCTCTGCAATAATCAGAAAGTGATCAACTGAGGCAGACTCTTCTCTGGCTTGCAGATCCAGAACTGTGTCACAGCCACAATCTGCAATAGCAAAATGCATGCCCTCTGGCCTGACTCCTTTCTAAACTCAAGTCTAAATTTGAGTTCTTCAAGAGCATATTTGATTTGCAAGACCTAAATCATATTCAGAATCTTGAATGGAAAAATTCCAGGAAATGAAGTTTCGAGCTTTCCAGGCTCTCAAGTGGAGGTTGCTCATTCTCTCGAATCCCACTTACCCCAGGGTAGAAAGTGGGATCAGTGTTTTCTCAGTTCCTCTCCAGTGCCAATTCTTGACCGAAAAGTCCTCCCCATCTTGTAAAACCTTTTCCTTCCAAGCCCGTAACATCTGGCTAAATCACTGGTATCCACTCCACTGTCACAGCCTGGACCTTGCCAACATATAAAACCTTTTTTTAACCTCCAAAATCACTAAGACACCCACTGTCTGATCAGGACCTCCCATCATTACAGCCAGGTTGGCCAACTGTGATCACTATATCTACTCTTCACCATGTTAATTACTCCACTAGCCACTGATCACTCCAGTTTCTCCCTGTGTCAGCCATATCCCATCTAGTTTAGACTCCTTTATTTTAATCAGATTCTTGTTGATATTACAAACTTCCTTTCTTTTCATCTGTTTCATAGGCCTGGCAAAACTCAATCCCCGGATGAACCAATCACCTATTGCAACCAGCACATCTAAGCTGGTTGGGCACTAAAGTCACACTTTCTTTCTGTCAGCTCCCATACCCTCTCCTTTAGTGTCTAATCCCATAGTCTTCAGCAAATGACTAAGTCTTAGATTTCTGAAACAAAAACTAAAAAACTAGCAGTCAAGAATTCATCTTGCAATGCAGGGGCAGGTTCGATCCCTAGTCAAGGAACAAGACTCTATGTGTCACACGGCAACTGAGCCCCCGTTCCACAGAGAATCTGTGCACCACAAGGAAGATTTTGTGTGCTGCAACTAGGACCTGACAGAGTCAAACAAATATTTAAAAAGAAAAAACAACCAAAAGCCATACTTCAATTTCTTGTCAAATAACTAACACTCCCTGCTTCTGAGTCCCTCATCCACTTTCTGAAGTCAAGCTTTCCAGTTGTGTTCTAGCTTCATGCCCTCTCTGGACCCACCCAAGGGAACTAGAGATGCTTATCCTTTTCCTTTCCCTTGCCTCCTTCTGAATTGGAGCAAACGCTTTCTAAAATTTAACAATTCACTTGTTTCTTGTCTTTACAGCTGCTTTGCAGTTTTTTTGCTTATTTGCAAACTCACTGCTTTTGTCCTTCCAAAGTACTCAATTTAGTTTGCTTTCTTTTCTTTTTTAGGTTTGTATAAAACCTCTAGTTGATACAAAATACTTATAAATATAAGTATAAATGTGTAGAATGTAAATAACAATAAAACACCTGTGTATCTGCCATATTTCAACTCAGTTTTAATAGAAACATAACTCATACATACTCAAATTTCCTTAAAATTTAAACATATGTCACAAATATATAAACAGAGTGACAAATCAATTGACATTAAAAATGATGGGAACCAATGCAATAACTCTTGGCAAGCATTCAGATCAGCTAGTGAGAGTAATCAGACCTACAGGAAAAAAACCTATAGGCTTCGAGGAGTCAGTGTGCCATGGGCATCAGTCTGTATGCTTTACAGAGGAAATGGAGAAGGTCAGTTAACAGAGGGAATTAGTTAAATGAAGACCAGTTAAGAGAACTTCTATATATCTTGAAGATTTCTCCATATCTGTACACATACATCTATCTCATTCTTCTGGGTTACTATGTGGTGTTCCATAGGATTATAGTTTATTTGGATATTTCCCATTTAATGAACAATTGGATTATAATACTATTACAAATACTATTGCAATGAATATTCAAGTATAGATCTCTTCAGTAATGAGAAATTATTTTTCTAGAATAATCATCTGAAGTGAAATTACTGGGTTAAAGGGTACACACATTTCAAAATTTGATACTTCCAAACAGGTCGCCAAGATGAAAATCAATTTATACTCCCACTAACTGTAAAAATAGATATACGCATTTTACTACCCTTGTCAATCTTTGATTCTTGCCAGCCTGATGGGTGAAAAAATTCCTCCTTGTGTGTGCTTTTAGTCACTCAGTCACTGCTATCCCATGGGCTATAGCCTGCCAGGCTCCTCTGTCCATGTGGGTTCTCCAGGCAAGAACACTGGAGTGGGTTGCCATGCGCCCCCTCAGGGGATTTTCCCGACCCAGGGACAACCCATGTGAAGTCTCCCTCGTTTCAGGCAGATTCTTTACCCACCAGGGAAGCCCATTTATTTGCATTGTCCTGATAATAACTGAGGTTAGCAACTTCTTTTTTATATGTTGGATACCTATGTCTTTTATGAATTGCCCACTTCTATAGGACAAGTTGATCATTTTCTTATTGATCTGTGGAGTTATTTATGTGTGAATATTTTCTCTCTGTATCTACCTTTTTTAACTTATTTTTTTTTGCAAAACTAAGGTTAAATTTTATAAGTTAAATTTCTCAGTCTTCTCCTTTATGGCTTCTCTTTGTGGCTACCCTGCCTCACATAGGATCTTAGCTGCAGACCAGAGATTGAACCCCTGCCTTCTGCAGTGGAAGTGGAGAGTCCTAACCACTAGACCACCAGGAAATTCCTGTGTCTTTTTTTTTTTTTATTCCTGTGTCTTTAAAAAGGTGTTTCCTACCCCATTGATAATAACATCAGAATATAAAATATCTTCTTTTATTTTATTCTAATGATTTTTCTAGTTTTAGATTTTACATGTAGCTCTTTAGTCCATCTGGAATTTTTTAATAAGAGATATGCATATTTACTTATTCCATATCTATTTTCTTTATAAGTTTCATAAGATAGGGACCTTGTCTGTCTGATTCATTATTGTATCCAGAAACTGGTACATTGTAAGTGCAATAATTAACCTTTGTTGATTTAAGGACTAACTTCTCAAGGTACAAGAATCTCTATAAGGATTCACTTCTCAGAGAAGGCAGCAGCAGGGTGTGGTGGTTAATTTCCATTTTTGACTTTACAATACAAATTTTGGACACTAGCAAAAGAGGTTTAGTAAATTTGTACCAGGATTTATAAAATTTTACATCTGCACCCCAAATTGTCTGGTTCCCACGCTGCTCCAAGGCCGCCAGCCTGATCTCCCCAACCACAGAAAATGATTAGGTAACACTGTTCTGCAGATATGGAATTATTTTACACACACTGCATGGTCTAATACATTGTTTCCAAAGTGTTCCTATGGTACAACTGGTGGTCTGCAAGATGACTTCTGATACAAAACTGAACAATTTTATTTGATTAATTATGTTTTTATTTTAACTTGTATTTAAAAAAACTGTAACTAGTCCTTGAAATCCATGGACTAGTTAGATCAAGACTAAAGCACTTAAACCTTAAAATTAAATCAATTTAAAGAAAACAATAAAGTCCTACAGTTGATAAGAAAGGGTGGCAAAAAGGAACGAAGGCACAGGAATGACGTTTGTGCAATAATATGCCGCTGGGGCCATGGGGCTTGCACCCTGCACACTTTTAACAAAGTGAGTTTCGCGGGTGAAGCTGAAGTCGCCACCTCTCCCTTCCCCAACAGAAAGCCAAGTTGCTGCGTGATAAAAGGACTAGATTGGGAAACATAACTGGCCCCTGGCTGCGCCAATGGGGTTGCAGCGCGCGGGGCACAACCCCCAGGGTTAGAAGGACCTCGCCGAGGAAGAGGCTGAACACACTACAAGGAGAAGAAGACTGACCCGCCACCTCTCTAGGGGTGACCGCTTGCCCTTTCTCAGTCCTGGGCGTGGGGTTAGCTTTCACCACTACTAGCCTGTTCGGGAAGTGAGCCGTGAGTTTCCTAAGGCTGAGGACTACAGTAGGTTCGCAGAGTTCGAGGTTTGCAATGTTCGCAGCGCCGGGGCCGGGACACAGGATAAAATGTTACGGACGCCTTACTGGGAAAGAAGGCGAAACCCGAGATCAGAGATAGGGGCTGCCACCGTGGGTTAGGGAGGTGGGGAGCACGGCGGTTTCCGTAGGAGCTTGGGGGCTGGAGGTCGCGATGCTGAGCAGAGGCGGAAAAGCGGAGCCGGAATTGGTTCCCAATGTTTTAGTGCTACCAAAAAAAGAAGGGGGGGGTAGTAATCGTGGGGCCCCTCACACCCCGCTGCGGTACACTCACCCTCACCAAAGTCCTTCCGGAAGTCCAAGTTCGAAGATGGCGCCGCCTGTCTGGTCGCCGTTTTATGACGAAATCTAGTAGCTACTCTTCATTGACGTCCCCCCCAGTGCACAAGGTAAACACGTGGGCTTGGTCGGGAATTTGTGCCCCAGAACGTTTTCTATTAGACTATGTATTCCATAATGCAGTGCGGCCAGCGTCCCCGAGCCCGTCGCAGCGGGCGCCGCTCCCGGGCCTCCGAGGCGCGAGGGAAGCGGCACGGCCTTATGGGAATTGCAGTGTCCCGAAGGGAAGACTGACGCCTGCGCGGTGACGGCCGTCGCGCCCCCGCGGGTTCCCACGCGGCTTCTATGCGAGCCTCGAGAGTGCGGGCGCCCAGGCCCGAGTGTCGCTCCCGAACGCTGAATCCTGGCTTTGTGTGGAGACTACTGGCCCGTGGCAGGCAGGGCCGGGCAGACCAGAGAGTACTTACCCGCAACCCCCGCGCCGTCGAGCGGAAGCCTGGGAGACAAAGGAATCCGTGCCTCGGGCCGCGGGGGGATGACTCCGGCTTCCGCCCCAGGGCAGCCCCCAGCAGATCCAGCCACTAGTGAAGCCAGGGATGGACCCGAGACCGAAACACAGTGAAGGGGAGGAGCAGAAGAAAAGCCTGGCTTGGAGACGCTCTACTCAAATGATCCTCAGGCTTGGACCCTCCCCTTGGTCGTAGGCCTCTCCCCACTCCCTCCCTGGGTGGTCGGTTGTGGTTGGAGAAAGAATGTAACAAACTTCTGCCGTTTCCTGAGACATTTAAAGCTGTAAATCACACAGGTCTGCATATACCGAATAGGAGAGTTCAAGATGTAGAAGTATGGACAGGAAAGGATGGGGTAAACCAATCTTTTTCCCAGATAATCTCATCTATTAAATTCCCTTGGTTACACAAAATGTTTATGAAAAGCAAGGGAGAAGCTAGCCAAGATTTAAAAGCTAGAGCAAGGGGACTCCCATCCCATTCGTCTTAAGTGGCCTTAGACAAGATAAGGCTGTGCTGTGGCTTAGGACAGGATTTGCTAGAGTGCTGAAGTGGGTGCAGTGGAGGCTGTGGTTCTTTTAATACATATGTTCAATGTTTCTTCTCAATTTCAAGCATTTCTCTTTTCATTAAAAGATTTGTTTCAAGCATTTATTTCTTTAATGAACAAACCTGACTCGTTTCCATTCCTGTTGCCTCAGATTATCTTTGACTTCAACTATTGCAAAATCTTTCTCATATTAATAATTGTATCTATTTGGGAGATAAGACATTCACATGATTCAAAATTCAAAAGATGCATAGGGTATAGGGAAGAGTCTTTTCCACTTCTCTCTCCAGTCTCCCAGACCACATCTACCTAGGCAGTTTCTTGTTACAGGTTCAAGACATTTTCTGTATTTATACTCATGCAAACAGATACACATCTTTCCCCATTTTAATGAATACAGCATCTTTGCTGTCCTGTGCTTTACTTTTAACTGAGTGTACCTTGGAGACTATTCCATTGCCATATATATAAACCTTCCTTATTGTTATGATTTCTTGTGCGTGCTCAGTTGTTAAGTCGTGTTCAACTCTTCGAGACCCCATAAACTGTAGCCCACCAGGCTCCTCTGTTCATGGTATTTCTCAGGCAAGAAATACTTGAGTGGGTTTCCCATTTCCTTCTCTAGGGAATCTTGCTGACCCAGGGATAGAACCTGCAGTCTTCTGCATTGGTAAGCAGATTCTTTACCACAGAGTCACCTGGGAAGCCCCTATGATTGCTTAGTATGTAATTACAGGAATGTAGTGTTAGCTCTTGTTTTTATTAATGGGTATCTAGGTGGTTTCCAGTCTTTTGCTATTATAAACAATGCTGCTGTATGTGTTAGTGCCAGTTCATGTGCCTGATACACAATGAAGCCAAACAAACTGAAATGTGGGAGTTAGGAACAAAAAAAGGTTTACCGCAGGGCCATACAAGGAGCCGAGTGGCTCATGCCTGAAAGCCCTGAATGCCCCAAAAGGTTTCAACTGTGTGCTCATGGTAGTTAACATCTTCCATCTGTTGGAGAGGGAAGATTTTTTACATCTGCAAAACAACTCAGGAAATGTGCATCAAATACTACTATTGAGTTACCTGAGAGGAGCTAAAGCAGAGGATGCAGGGGAAAGCCTGTCTGGGAAGGTCCCATGACGTCCTGATCTGTTACATATGGACTTCCCTGTTGGTACAGTGGTTAAGACTCCCTGCTTCCACTGTAGAGGGCATGCCTCACAGGGGCCAAAAAGGGGGAAAATAAGATGCTGCTGTAAATAACCTTGCATCTAAGTTACTTCATATGTATAAATTCCTAGAAGCAGAATTGCTAGACCAAAATTTAGGCGCACTTGTGATTTTGATTGATGGACAATCTTTTTTTACTGATCTGTTTCTCCATCTCTAATCTCTACCAGTTAGCTCTGCTTAATTTTGATGATTGAGTGATATGCTCAATATTTTAAAAAATGATTTCATAATGATTTTTACAGAGAAAAAGCAAAAATTCAACTTCTCATTGCATGCCACTGGAAGTAACTAGTGACCAATTCCTGAAAATTGACAATTAAAAAAATTAAGCATTTATCTTGCCTTTCCAGTATGAATTAGTAATTCAGAATAGTAACTGATGACTAATACTGAAGCTGAAGCTCCAATACTTTGGCACTTGATGCAAAGAACTGACTCATTGGAAAAGACCCTGATGCCGGGAAAGATTGAAGGCAGGAGGAAAAGGGGACGACAGACACAGGACGAGATGGTTGGATGGCATCACTGACTCGATGAACATGAATTTGAGCAAGTTCCAGGAGTTGGTGATGGACAGGGAAGGCTGGCATGCTGCAATCCATGGGGTTGCAAAGAGTTAGACACGACTTAGAGACTGAAATGAACTGATGAGAGAGAGTTCTTTATAGAAGATTATCAGCTACTAAGTGTTGAATGATGTAATTAGGAAAAAAAATTTACCATGTTGCATCCTCTAGTGAAATAATTCAGGCAACAATCAAAAATGGATCCATTCATCACTGAAAATGGACTAACCAACCTGATGTGAGGCAGTGTGAAACATAATCAGCCTAGTTCCTGGAACAAGTTAAATGTCATGAGAAAAGAAAGGAGGCTGAGGAGACTGCTTTTGATTACAAAAAATTCAAGACATAATAACCACAGAAAATGTATGGATGTATTTGGATCCTGATTCAACTGTAAAAAGCCACTTTTGAGACAATCAAGGAAATTTGATTATGAATTGGACAAAGATAAGCAAAAATTTAATAAGTGTAATAACATGGTAAATTTTCATATTTTTTAGAGAGATGCTGATGTTTGGAAGAGTAAAATATAATGAATGGGATTTGCTCTAATGCAACTTCAGCAAGGAAAAAAAAGTGGAAACAAAGCATTCATGGGAAATCTTGATAATTACTGCATTTGGTAAGGGGGATTCTTTATATAGTTCACTGTATTTTCTATGCTGCTTGAAATTTTTCAATAAAACACACACATGTACACACAAAATGGATGACTCTTCTGTGTTTTTAGGCTAACCATAATGGTCACTCTCACAATCTGAACCTAATCCAACCTATGTTAACAGCTTTGTCACTAATTTTCCACATAAGCCTCCATTCTAGCTTTACCGCATGACTTGACACTTTGGAACTGGCTGATCATTTTAAGGCCTATTCTGTAGTCTAAGTTATTTCCTCTGCTGATCTGCCTTCTCATCCTTTTTCCAACTGGGAAATTTCTTCTCCTTCAACGCTTAGCTCAGATGTTAGCTGTGAAGTCTTGCCCAACCTCACTAGATCTCCTGAGTTGCTTCCAATGAACTCTGTTCATTACCACTAGTAGAATTTATCTCATACTGTAGATACAGTCTGTCTTCCTCCATCATGATGAGTACTCCATAACAGCACATAGCATAAAAATTAAAGGCATAGACTCTAGATCCAGGATGCCTGAGATCACATGCCAGTTTACTTAGCATTACATTGGGCAAGTAACTTCACCTCTCTGTGCCTCAGTTTTCTCATCTGTAAAATCTTACTTCATGGGATGGTATTAATCTCCTAAATGATAAGAAAAGGCCAACAGTTTCCAACACATGTTAAGTACTGAGTACTAATATAAAATATTATTAATGTGTAACATTATTTAACACAAATATCAATGTATTCATTTAATATTAATATAATAACACTAAATACTAAGAATAGGACTCTTGTCCTTATTATACTGCTCCTCATATCAAGCTCAGTGTCTGGCACATAGATGCTCAATAAATGGTTGATGACTTGGGATAATTTTTGGTCTCCATACTGACCTTCACTTTGGCTCCAAAGCACTGGCATGGACCTAATCACTTGAGAACATTTCCATAAAGGTTTGTCTGAGGTTCGCAGCAGGTGCTAAGAGGGACTGGGGAGTTTGGACTCCTAAGTGGCGGTGATGCTAAAAGAGGTAACAGGCAGCAGAGTCGCTGAGTGTAGGGAGTATGTCATTTATTGACCCTGTGTTCCGCCACTCACTGGTCACTACTCTTGACTCGTAGGACAACAGGTACAGAACTGCAAGGGATCATCCCCAGCTCTGTGATCACCAGATCCACCAGTTCTGGGGGGGTCACATCATAGACCAGATTCAACAACCGTAGGGACGAGTGGTTCTGCCAGTTAGCCAGGGCCACATGTTCTCCTCGCTCACACAGCAGATCGTCAGGGTCATCTGCAATGGGAGGTGCACCCTTTTATGTACTTTTAAAAAATAAGTTATAGTTCAACCTCCCTTCTCCCTCCCAAATCTTCTCAGGTCCCTGGAACTTCCTCTTCTGCCCACCTGGGCCTCCTTACCTAGCTCATTAGAAACAAAGGCATCAGTCTGCACACGCTCACAGAACTTGTATGTTTCACAGCAGACCAGCACAGGTACATTATGGGCCCGTGCCACCAGGGCCAACTGTGCTGTCCCTACCCGGGACATCACAGATCCATTCGCCAGGAGAGCATGAGCTCCCAATAGCACCTTAGAAACCTATTTTGAAGAGTAGAAAGAAGGAAAAAAACATCATGTGTGATCAATGCAGAATAAGATTTCCAACTCCTACCCAGGATAGCAACATTAAGACAATGAATAACAAATCGTAATAATGGCCCTTGGAAAACACCTGACCACTGATTCACTGCACCACCCACAGGAAGACTACACCCTGAAGTTACTTTTGTCTGGTTCCCTCCTGGTGGCTGCTAGTTTAATACAAGGTTCCTGTCATAGGTAGACATGCTGTGTAATGTGCTGGAGATGTTCTTCCTATTAGCTATCAACAAGATTATAGAGTTTTAAGATTTCTAGGTAACTGCAATGTTGGGAAAGTAAGATTATGTCTATACTACTGTACCCTTTTACTTCACTTTCGAGTCCCTTTACTCTGCCCTCACCTCTGGGAGCACATAGGAAGCTGCAGGAATCAGCAGGTAGGAGGCAGGGACCCCAGCACGGACCAGAGAACGTAGCGTGTGCTTTCCCTCCAGCCGTGGCCGGCTGTCCACCACTACCACGCGAAATTGCCGGCCCTTAGCCCAAGCCTCCTGAAGAATTTGTGATACCAGAGATGAGCTGGAGCGAAGGGAGAGGAGGATTCAGTTATAAATGTCACTGACTGATGGTCAGCTCATTCCTAAAGGGCAAAGGGGCAGTCCCTTCTTCAGATCATTTCACTTCCCAGTTTTCTCAGTCATAGGGTCTGGCCCATACCATCCATATACCAGGATCACATCTCCATTACTGATCTTCTTATAAGCAAAGCGTGAGATTGCCTGAGCTGCAAGCACAATCTTCTCTTTTATGTATCTGTCAATAGCTGCTTGTAGTTCTGACTTGGCCTAATGGAGTAAGACACTTAAGGAACAAGAAATGGACATTTTTTTCCTTTGATTATCATGCTGGATACTTGAACATGTATAACAATGAGACTAAAGGGGGGCCCAGATCAGACAGTCCAACCACCTCCTTAACCCCTGCCCAGGCAGACCAGAGAGTTGCCCTTCCTGGGAGTCCCAAATATGTTTCCAGCTCCATCCTCCCATGCATGCCTTGCTCATGCCTCATACTCATCACCTCCTCTTCCCGCTTGGAGCTGCTCACACCCGTGATCTCCTTGTTAAGGAACTTGATGGCGTTATACATGCTTGCTGACAGGGGACGGCACTGAGTCAGGAAGCTACAACAACAACAACATCTTACATCCGCGCAACGCTTCACAGCTCACAAAGCTTTTATATTTAAAAACATCTTTTGAAAGATAAGACACAAAAATTAAAAAAAGAGATAGAAGAGCAAGAAAAAGAGTTCAAGAAAAGGACGGAGCAAGGTAAAGAGTGGGAGCAGACGTGCAGTGGTCATCCTCACCTGAAGTAGGGCTTTAGTTTATTCACCAGGTCCCTTGACAATTCTTCATTGGGAGGTGTTGTGTAGTCCTGAATCACCTATATAGTACACAAGTTGATTGGCAAAATGCCCCCTGACAAATCTCTGAAAGGGGGATAGGGTAAGCTTCTCTGAGGAGAGTCTTCTAGGATGGCATCATTTCATCTTCCCCTTGAGATGACTCTGGCCGAGAGAAGCTGGGGTAGTGTTGGCGAAGGTGAGGCTAAGTCATAAAAGGGAATAGGATGGGACATACCTGCTGCAAGGCACGAAGCAGGGCGATGCACCGGGCATTGGAGCCGCTGACCAGGCCCTGGGAGTACTGCAGGCCGAGCCGCACCATGGCTGGGTGGATCACAGAGGATGGGATGCTGATGGGATGGCGGTGTCACACACTTTGCAAGGGAACTTGAGCACCTACCGCCCACCTGCCCCTGATGAAAATGAACCTCCTTCACTAGCACAGACACCCCCATTTCCTCAAGAGTTCTGCCTTGTGTTCATACTTCTTTCCACAGATCCAACCCCCAGTTTCCAGTCATTTTGAAAACAGAATTACTAAAACTCCCCAGACTTAAAAGATATGACAGTTTCATAAAATCCTACCTCATAAACTGGGTCAAAGAGTTTTGTCTGCTGTACTGGGGTAGGTGGGAGAAGAGACTGACTTTGGATCCATAATCCTTTCGTGTAGGAACCTTGACAAAACAAGGGGACAGGACCAAGGGCCCAGAGTTTAAAACTGTGGGATGATGCTGGGAAGGAAGAGGACAGTGAGCCTGCTTTGACCCAAATTCTCATCCTTTTCCAAGGTCTCACTTTGCCCCGAGCAACTTTCCTCCCTCTATTCCATCTCCCTAGGCTCTTTCTGGCCATACTCCAAACCCACTTCTTACCTGCTGTCGCTCTGGTTTTTTCACAAGCCTTCTCAGAAGTGTGGGGTCATCAACCTGACTATGCTCAGGTAGACGCTTCACTCCTAGAAGAAAACAATCATATCTTCAAGACACTGTAGGTGATAAAGAAAAATATGCTTTCAGGGCATAAGGGACATCAAGAGAAATCTGAGGCGGGGTAGAAAATCGGAGAAAAAACATAGATGGAAGAAACAGGGGTAGGAAGAGGCTGAGGGGAGAACTGTGAACTCTGGGAACCAAGGTAAAAACTGGCAGGCCTTTGAATCAACGGAGATCTTGAAATGAAGGGACAATACCTGAGGGGATTTCTCCAGCTGTGCTGGGGCAGGCTTGAGGAGGTGGCCCTCCTTGGTCCCCTTTTCTCGCCTGCTTCAGGGCCCGCTCAGCCTCCTGCTTAGCCCGCCGTTCAGCTCGAAGTTCAGCTTTACTCCTACCTGCTGGAACTTTCTCCTTGGCAGTGCCCAACTGACTGTCCGGTCCTGTCAGGTGTTTGGCTGGGCCTCCTAAAGGTAGAAGGAGGAGGTGCCCAAGCCTCTTGGGCAGGTAAGTAATAGCTGTGCCCCAACCAAAGCCTCTTTTCCTTTTCATTTATTCAAATCAACTTTGTCCTGTCTCCCCCTCTTTTCTCCCACCACATCCCTTTACCAGCATCACACCCCAGCCCTTTGAAAAGCCCCCGCACCTTGACACTGGGCTGCAGATACAGCGGAGCCAATTTCTGCTTCTGCACCCTTTTCCTCCTTCCGTTTCTTCTTCTGCTGTTTCTTTTCCTTCCGAAGCTGCAGCTTTTCTTCTTGGGTCATCTCCCTCCCCCCTGCCTATGACACAGACACACAATACTTCTCTTCCCCAATAATTCCAAAAATGAATAAACACTACTGGATACTTATTAGACTCCCACACGGTCCCTAACCCTTCCTGAGTCTCACCAGCTCCCTGTTACAAGCTAAGAGCCCACAGGGATCGAAGTTTCTCCTTCAAGTCAGAGTCACACTACCATTAAGGCTGACAAAACTCTGTAAAAATCTCCTGGCTTTACCGAAAAATAAAGTGGAACGAGGATGGAAGCTGGGGCGGAATGAAGTTGATACAGGCTCCTGCGTACCGCCTGACAGGGTAACTTGTGCGGGCTTCACTTACCCCAGACCGAGGAGCAAGCTCCGCCTTCATCCCAGATCCCGAGTCTGCATCAGAAAACAGGGCACAAAGTGAACTAGAAAGGCTCCGGGAGGGTTTGGGGGAATTCGTACTCGGCACAGCTGGTTGCTGGCTCGGCATGACCAGAGCTCGGCTCCGCCACCAAGCGGGAGGTGAGCCTGGGATCCGCGTGGGGACGCAGTGCGCGGCCGGATCAAAGGGAAGCCGGGCGGGGAAAGAAGCGAGCACGCACTCTTCCCGGAGAAACAAGCCGGTGCGCGGCGCGGAGTGCGTCCGAGGCAGCGCGGCCAGAGTCCGTCGTGGCGCGGGAACCAAATGACGGGGCCCAGAGGGACCCAGGGCCCAGCAATAGCCGTCTGGAGCCCGTTGGCTCACGTACTTATTTGTGCACCCGGCCCTTCACTCACCCTCGCGAACAGCCACAGCCACGGTAGCCATCACCCTCCGTTCTAGGCTCCGCCCGCCGGGGTCACCGCGACTAGAGCGCCCCCTGGGTCGACAGCCGCGGAGCGCAGCCCCAAGCCGACTACAAGCCCCTGCGTGCTCTGGGGCCCCGCCCCGGGCTACGGGTCGCGATAAGGGCCATCTTAATTTTAGGCTCCTAACCCCTTAGACTACAGTTCCCAGGATGCCAGGCGGCGCTGCGTCCCAGAGCGGACGTTCCCAGCCCCTCCCACCGCCGATCTCGCGCCCACCCCACCCCCGAAAATGGCGAGCGAGACTGCGGGGACGCGCTGAGAAGCGGAGGCGAGCGTGCAAAGCCGCTGCGGCCCTCATAGTCCGGAGCCCGGCCGGGCCCTGCTGCAGGGAATATGCACTTTTCCATTCCTGAAACCGAGTCCCGCAGCGGGGACAGCGGGGGCTCCGCCTACGTGGTGAGGAGCGGCCAAAGCCCGATCGGGCAGGGGCGGGGATAACGGGCCGGAGCCTCTCCGAGCGGCCTCCGAGGTCTGGCTGCCACCTTTCAGGCCTGGTCACAGGCCGCCGACTCCCGACGGCCTCCCTGGGAGTTTATATTACGTCTGAGATTCGTCCAGCGGTCGCCCCAGCTCCTGTAGGTCCTTTGTTCGGCCGCATCGCCTCCCTCGGCTGGGCCGCGGCTACTCTGGTGGGCGTCACTGGCCTCTGGGGGAAGAAGACTGCAGCCCGAGCGCCCGAGTTTGCCCCGACTGGTCCTTCTGCTTTGGGACCTGGCTCTGGGGGAGATACACTGGCAATCCTCGGAAGATCTCGGCGCGTTTCTCAGCGCAGCTGTGCCAGGCCACTTCCGGCCAGGGTTCGCAAGGGGACCGCCCAGACCGCCACCCTAAAATGCTTGCCTGCTTTTGTGTCCTCAGGCCTATAATATTCACGTGAATGGAGTCCTGCACTGTCGGGTGCGCTACAGCCAGCTCCTGGGGCTGCACGAGCAGGTGGGACTGGCACCCCTGCCTTGAGGCAGCGTCAAGCCCTTTCCTTCACCTGGGCACCAGCGTCTCCATTTCCCGCCTCGTCGCTTTTCCGTAGGCTGTAGTTCCCTTTTAATCACAGCCGCAGGGGAGGATTTACTGCTTTATCTGGTCGTGTGACGTTTCCGGGGAACTCCCTAGGAAGCTTAACGTCTGCCACTCTAACCACCCCTGTCTATACTCACGTTCTCCTTCCTGTTTCTCTGCCCCCGTCTTACACAGCCTGTACACTGCCTGTGCCTGTGCATGGATAGATCGCCCCCCCCTTCCCCCTCCGCTGCCAGAGCACTTTCCTCTGTCAGTTGAGTTGCAACTTGAAATTCTTTTCCCAGTTCATACAAACCATTCATCAGTTTGGGTCTGTGTTCCTTGACGCACCTGAGTGGGTGTAGCTGTTGCAGTTATCCTGTGTCTGTGATGTAATGTTTCTGTTCTCACCAGATTGTGAGCTCTGTATTTAATTCAGTAGAGCCTTGATTCTACTGATTACTAGTTGTGCAACCCTGAGCAAGCTGCCTGATTTCTTGGGCCTCAGCTACTCCAGCTGAAAAATGGATTCATTGATCTGCAGTGTCCCTTTTAAGTCCTAAGATACTTCGTGAATATACTTAGCTATTACTTGACTGTGCACATAAAGTCTCCTTACAAAGCCCTTTGCCTCCTGTAGGGGTTCAATGAATACAGCCTTGCTAGATAATGAAGGGGCTCACTAGGCCCTGGCCCTATATAAACCCTTCCCACCATGTGAAGGGGCTGGCTCGCACACTGTAAGATTGTAAAGGGCATATATCTAGAATAGAGCAATGGCTGCCCTTGCCAAAGGAATCATTTCCTGGGTGACCAGGGTTGGTAGGGGAGCAGGGATTGAGGAAAAGGAAGGGGAGTCCAAGAGAATATTATAAATGTGGATTGCTTCTTGTCACTTGCGATGTTTATGTAAAGAGTTGTATCTCTTTCTCCAAATAGCTTCGGAAGGAATATGGGGCGAATGTACTTCCTGCATTTCCCCCAAAGAAGCTTTTCTCTCTGACACCTGCTGAGGTGGAACAGAGGAGAGAGCAGTTAGAGAAGTACATGCAAGCTGGTGAGTGGCTCAAGGGAACAGAGGCTGACTCTGTTGAGGATTATGGGTAGAGAATCAAAACAGCTGATTCTGTAGAAGGCCCTGCTGGGAAGCCTCTTTTTTGATCTGTTATTTAATGAGCGAAAGTAAATAACATGCAAGGATGCTCTAGCATCTAGGTACCAGAAAAGCAGTTTTGGCCCTGACATCTATAAGAAGTACTAATACGGCACTAAACAGTCTTAAAGCATTTTCAGTTAGTGGGGAGAACTTCATACTTCATTTGTGTCCAATGTGCTTTAGATGAACATTAAGTCCTATAGACGGTACTTAACTAGATGGTAGCTAAGGGTAGGGCAGGGGACGAGTTTATGCAGGGGACTTCCCTGGCAATCCAGTAGTTAAGACTGCACTTCCAAGGCTGGGGGTGCCGGTTTGATCCCTGATCAGGAACCCAAGATCCCACATACTGCACAGTCAGCCAAAAAATAAAAATGAAGTTAAAAAAGAAATTATGCAAACAGTGAATGGGGTGAGGCCAGCTGGAAGATGTGATAGGCCACCATCAGCCAAGGAAAGGGAGCCTACCAAGAAGAGAACTGGAGGGAGCCAAGAGGGAACCGTAAGTTACTAGAACATCATTCTCTTGTCCCCACAGTTCGGCAAGACCCATTGCTTGGGAGCAGTGAGACCTTCAATAGTTTCCTGCGTCGGGCACAGCAGGTGAGGCTTTGGGGGACCAAGATTTAAGGTTGAAGCACCTTCCTGTAGGGCTACATCATTTTAATCAGGTGGGTACAGAGGAGTTATTCTGGCATCTTTCTTTATGGAAGGGGGTTTCTGCTGTACCAGTGAAATCAAGGAAACAGCTTATAATTAAGCCACTGCGAATAAAGGCACTGGAGGAACCTAGAAATACACAGTTGGGAAAGGGCCAGAACTGGACGCCGGGCATGTGGTTAACAAGGAGGTGTTCCCATTCCATTCCTATGTTCACAACCAGGAGACACAGCAGGTCCCCACAGAAGAGGTCTCTTTGGAAGTGCTGCTCAGCAACGGGCAGAAAGTTCTGGTCAACGTGCTAACTTCAGATCAGACTGAGGATGTCCTAGAGGTGAGGCACTTGTTCTGCACTGGTGTTCCTTCCCCCGTGCCCCCTGCACTCCTTCCCGGGCTTGAGGTGATGGGAACCACCCCATTTGATGAGCTGTACTTCCTTCCTTGTCTCCAGGCTGTGGCTGCAAAGCTGGATCTTCCAGATGACTTGATTGGCTACTTCAGTCTATTTCTAGTTCGAGAAAAAGAGGATGGAGCCTTTTCATGTGAGTTTCTCTGGACTTTACAACTTCCCTGTTTTGAGTAGTGAATTTGTCTCCCTGTCTCCCCCAAGAATGTGGCAGGCATTTCCCCAGGGCTTCCCTCTTGCTTTCCTTCCCGAGTCTGACATTTTCTTTTTTTTTTTAAACCCATAGTTGTACGAAAGTTGCAAGAGTTTGAACTGCCTTATGTGTCTGTTACCAGTCTTCGGAGTCAAGAATATAAGATTGTGCTGAGGAAGAGGTCAGGGCTGGGCTGGGAGGAGGGAGAGTGTGCTGGGTTGGATTATGGGACCATGTGTTGAGACAGAGTGACCTGGTCAAGGGGGTAGTGCTGGGTTTTTCTACCAGGCCTCCCAAGCTTCCTCTGACTGTATCACCCTTCACCCCATAGTTTCAGATTGCTCCTGTTTTGCCCCCCTTTCCTTTCTACCTCTTGCCTTCCCCCAGCTTAGCCCCATTACCCCTTTCCACCCCTTGGCCTCACAGTTATTGGGACTCTGCCTATGATGACGATGTCATGGAGAACCGGGTTGGCCTGAACCTGCTTTATGCTCAGGTGAGCTTGGAGCTGCCTCAGAACCCTTCCCCTGAAAATGGCTCTGGTGTCCCACTCTGCCGAGAAAACTCCTTTCGTGTCTTTACTGCCGGTTCACGGGGAAGTTCCTAGCATACTCTGAGGGCATCTGGCACAACCTGTACTCTCCCTGCCTTGTAAGCTGATTGGTCAAGAAGACTCACTGCAAAGAGCTGGCTCAGATGTGGGGCTAGGGGTCAGGCTGGACAGAGGTAACTGGACACTTTCTTTGGACCTCTGACTGGGAGCAGCCCCTCACACCATGTCTCCACTGTAGACGGTAGCAGACATTGAGCGTGGATGGATCCTGGTCACCAAGGAGCAGCACCGGCAGCTCAAATCGCTGCAGGAGAAGGTCTCCAAGAAGGAGGTGAGCCTTGCCTCCCCGTCTCCCTCCAAGGGGTTGCTTCCTCTGGGCTGTCCTGCTTCCCCTCGTGACTCGCCCACATGGTGACTGGGTTTCAGTTTCTGCGGCTGGCCCAGACGCTGCGGCACTACGGCTACCTGCGCTTCGACGCCTGTGTGGCTGACTTCCCCGAGAAGGACTGTCCAGTGGTGGTGAGCGCAGGCAACAGTGAGCTCAGCCTCCAGCTCCGCCTGCCTGGCCAGCAGCTCCGTGAAGGCTCTTTCCGGGTCACCCGCATGCGGTGCTGGCGGGTCACCTCCTCTGTGAGTTGGGGTAGGAAGGGGAGGCCTTTGGGATGGAGGCCTGGCAAGCCTTGAGCTTCGGGAATGGGCTGGAGTAGGTCAAGGCACGAGGCACAGCCTCTCCGGCTGAGAACGAACACAACCTGATTCCCCTTCCTCTCCAGGTGCCACTGCCCAGTGGAGGCACAAGCAGCCCCGGCCGGGGCCGGGGTGAGGTGCGCCTGGAACTGGCTTTTGAATACCTCATGAGCAAAGACCGGCTACAGTGGGTCACCATCACCAGCCCCCAGGTGTGAGCCCACCCTCAGGCCTCCTCTGGAGCCCATTGCACCGTCTCTCTTAGATACCCAAGTCTAGGGCTTCCAGGACTCCATGTGAGTGGGAGCCCTTGTCCTAGGGGTGCTGGGCTCAGGGTGACCACTCTAGTCAGGCTGAGCTCTCCCCTTGCCCTCAGGCTATCATGATGAGTATCTGCTTGCAGTCCATGGTAGATGAACTGATGGTGAAGAAATCTGGCGGCAGTCTCAGGAAGGTAAGTGGTGGCTGTGCTCTCCCTGCCTTTTGTCCTAGGGCTGGTGCTTCTGAGAGGGAGGGGAAAGGCTCAGGATTCTCATGGGAGTGATCCTGCCCTTACCGGTGCCTCACGTCTCCATCCTCAGATGCTGCGCCGGCGGGTTGGGGGCACCCTGAGACGCTCAGACAGCCAGCAAGCCGTGAAGTCACCACCATTGCTTGTAAGTACTGCTCCCTGATCAGTGCCCTAGCCCCCAGCCCCCAGCCCACCCCACCCTACCCTTGCCTCAACTCCCCACAAGGTCTCTGATGCCACTGCCTCATCTTTCCCAGGAGTCACCAGACGCTAGTCGGGAGTCCATGGTCAAACTCTCAGTAAGTTTCCCACAAGGCTTGGTGAGGTTGGTGTTCGTAGGGGATCTCAGGGAGGCTCAAGCGCTCTGACCCCCAACCCTGCCTTTATTCCAGAGCAAGCTGAGTGCTGTGAGCCTGCGGGGGATTGGCACTCCTGGTACAGATGCCAGTGCCAGTGATGTCCACGGCAATTTTGCCTTCGAGGGCATTGGAGACGAGGACCTGTGATCTCCAGCACTCGGATGTCTGCCCTCTGCCCTGGGAGAATGTTCAGAAACTTGCCCTGTGCCTGTATCCCGTCCTGACCCCCAAACGGGGGGCATTTTCCTTTCTCTTGTCCCCTTTTCTCCTCTCAGCCAGGGGCCTCCTAACCCACGTCTCCCTCCACCTCCCCCCCATCCTGGGGCTGGCTACACAAAGGATCACCCAGAGCTGGCCCTCAATGCCAAATTAGCATTTAGTATTTTGCACAAAGTCCACGGGACCATGGCTACCTGCTTGGGGAGGAACCACAGTTCCCTCCAGGCTGCTTCTGGCTTCTCAGGGCCATGAGCCAAGGGGATGGGCAGAGGTCTGTGTACGGTCTGGCCCAGCTCCCCATCATTAAACTCAGCCTGATTGCTGCCTACCTCTGGTTCCCTCTCTGCCCCTGCTCCCCCCATCACAGCACGCACTGCTGTGCTAAGGGTGAGCCTGAGCCGTGCTTATCACTGCCAACTCAGCATAGACATGGCTTTGTTAGTGTTTCCTTTATTATAAAGCACTGAAATAAGTTAAATAAACAGGTGCGAGGCTGGACAGTCCCCCAGCCAGTTCCTCCACTGCCCCTGGGAGCAGTGGAGATGAATACAGGGCCCTTCTCACTGAGCTTATGAAGTGCATCAGTCAGGGCAAGGCCCCCTGGTCCATGTGGGTCCCCTGCCCATGGGGTTTGGGCTGGTCCATACAGTGCCTAGGTGAGTCAGTGTGGAGCCCCCTGGCCAGCGGGGGAGGAAGGAGAAGGTGGCTTCTGGTCCGTCTGTATAAAACACAGGAGGGTCAGGACTACTGCATGGAGCCCTGGGACAGAAGGACTGTCCTGTTCAGGGTGAGTCTGTATGGAGAGCTCGGCTACTGGTGGCACCCAGGGCTGTTGGGCCCCGAGAGCTCAAAACAGGGGGAGGACTGTGAGGTGGGGCCCAGCCCTCAGAGGCAGAGAGGCCAGGCCCTCCCACCCCCCCATGGCCATGCACCTTTTGGTGGCGCTTGTAGTTGTCCCAGTGGCCCGTGGTATAGGCGCAGGTGGCACAGCGGAAGGGCTTCTCGCCTGTGTGCCGCAGCATGTGGCGTTTGAGGTTCATACTCTGATTGCAGCTGTAGTTGCAAAGGCTACACCGAAAAGGTTTGTCCCCAGAGTGGATCCGACCATGACGTTTGAGGTTGGCCAGGTTACCACAGGCATAGGGGCAGAGGGGGCACTTGTAGGGTTTCTCTCCTGTGTGGACGCGCTGATGCCGTTTCAGATTGTCCAGGTGAGCAGAGGCATAGGGACAACGGGCACAGCGGAAGGGCTTCTCACCGCTGTGCGTCTTCATGTGCCGAGCCAAGTGGTTGGGATAATGAGTGGCAAAGGGACAGAGGCTGCAGGCGAAGCCTTTGTCACTGGGGCCCTGGGGTCCCCCACTGGCACCACCTTCAGTCTCTCCTCGCATGCAGCGCCCACACGTGGCTGGTCCCAGCCGACTGCCCTCCCCCTCCTCCAGCTCTTGCCCACAGTTCCGGCAGGTCCAAGGGAACAGCAGCTCTGGCAGTGGTTCTGACCCAGTCCCACACAGGCCTTCCCCTTCACCCCGCAGCTGCCCACAGTCCGGCAGGAAGCTGGCACCACCTGGTGACACATGGAGGCTCAGATCTGGAAGCAGCAGGGCATCTGTGGGGACAGTGAGACCTGGGCTATGAATGCAGGTACCCACTAAGGCCACCCACCCATGTCCCAGCTTCTTTAGGCCTGGATTTTTACCTTCGGGTCGCCGAGGCACTGCCCCCTCCTGCTCTGTGGGACTGGGAGGCCGGGCAGGACGTGGAGCACAGCAGCGGAAGCCACAGGTCGGGCAGGGAGGAGTGGGGGGCCCCCCATGGGTGCGCTGATGCCGCCTCAGGTTGCCCAGGCTGCTGCAGGCAAAGGGGCAGTGGGGACAGCGGTAGGGCTTCTCGCCAGTGTGGGTGCGGGTGTGTCGTGTCAGGTTGACGAGCTGGGCTGAGGCGTAGGGGCAGCGGCCACAGCGGAACGGCTTCTCCCCGCTGTGTGTCTGCATGTGCCGCTTCAGGTGACTCGAGTAGTGGGACACGAAGGCGCAGAGGCGGCATGAGTACAGTAGCCGTGGGGGCAGCGGGGGCCCCCCACCCGGTCCTCCTGCCCCGCAACACGGCCCCTCACCTGTGGGCCCCCCACACAGCTGGCAGGCTGGGCCTGGCCTCTCACCCCTGGCCTCCCCTGGACCCCTGGCTGGCTCCTCAACTTCACTCTCTGCGCTTAGTGCCCGGCCGCCCCCAGACTCGTCGTCACTCAGCCCGTAGGGAAGCCCAGGCCTGGCCCCCAGAGAGTCTCCTGGTGAGACAGACGAGAGAAGAGACATCAACACAGGGCAGAAACAGACTCAAAACTCGCTTTTTCTCACTTGTGGCCTCACCACTTGCTGGGCTCCACCCTTCTCTTCAATTCAACTAACATTCAGCTAACATTCAACTAACAACTAACATTCAATTCAGCTAACTAACATTCAGTAACATTCAACTTCAATTCAGCTAAACATTCAACAAGAATTAGCTACCTCTGAGCCTGGACTAACCCAGTGATGATAGAGTTGCATATAGGTCCATGGAATGGAAAAAAATGTGTGGTTTACAGTGGACCACCGATGGAAATCAATCAACAATTAAGTAATTCTTGGGATAAGCAAAAATACACAAGGCAGAGGCCTGAGACCTTTTTCTAATTCTTCCGTCAGTGAGGACTCAGTTTTTAATTTATAATCAGCTGCATACTATCTCAAGAGAAAAAATTTGGAGGGAAGAAGAAACAAAGTAATGCATATAATACTACTTCTAAGCCTAAAGGATGGATTCCCTTTTGTGTGGATCCCTTCAAAGACTTTCAAAAGCATCTTCCAGAAGTGGCATTAAGTGTTTAGGTAGTGCAGCAACTTAGGATGGGGTGATGCTAAGATCACAGGGAAGACTGTGGAAGGATATTTGAGGGTAAAAATTAAAACCTCAGTGCAAAAGGAGTTTATGTTGCAGGTGAAACGGAGTTAGAAGTATTAGCATGAATGAGGTTGCTTCCCTAAACCCAAACTCTTAATGAATGGGCTAGGGAGCAAGACAAGATTATTAAAAGGGCATTTACTTGTAATCAGTTGCTTTCTGTGATTCCTCCACTGTACTATTCATAACATCTTTGGACCAGGCCCTAAAACCTCACCTCAACAAAGTGAAGGACCATCAGACAAATGAAATCTAGCTCAAATCTAAACTTATACTAAACCAGTCGCACTGGCAGGAAAGCATGTTTTGCTCAGAACTAAACCTAACCCGCCTTCTAAAGACTGGGGTTCCAGTGGTCACTTTCTTAAGTGCCCCCAAACCCACCTTCAGAGTCTCTCTCGAAGCCCATGAGCTGGTCGCTGTTGCGGTCACCTTCCTCCTCTTCCTCTTCCTCCTCCTCTTCAAACTCCAGATCCTGGCCTAGTAGCAAATCACTCTCCAATACCAGGGCCCCGGGTCCTTCGTCGAGGGAGTCTTCGGTATCCACTGAAGAGAGGAGGGGGCTTGTAGATTCTCCCTCAGGAACCGTGCCCATCATCCGCACCCGGGGAGCCAACCCTCGTAGACCGTACTTCCCGCACTCGCAGACCCTCTCGGGTACCTTGATGGGAAACTAGGAGTCCAGGTCGCTCACCCCATCCCTCAGGAGTCGCCCTCCACCCAGACCTGAACCCTCGCCACTGACCCCACCCCCGCTCCTCCCCACCCCACGGCCCCTGACCCCTGACCTTTGACCCCCTCGCATTTCACGGGCTGCGGGTGGCTTTGCTTCCTTCGGGGCATCGTGACCGGCTCCAGCCCGACGCGCCTCCGGCCTGCGGCCGCCCGGCCCCGCCCCTCCCAATTCGGCCCGCCCGCCCTCCCTCTCAGGGCCCGCAGGCAGCCCCCATACAGCGGCGCGGGCCCCGGGCAGCCCCCGGCCCTAGCCCCGGCGCCCAGCTCAGGCCGCTCCCGCCGCCGCCGCCGCGTCCATTCATGGAGCCCCCTACCCCCCCTACGGAGACCAGCTGGTACCTCCGTACTCGCTTCCGCTTCCGCTGCCGCAGAGCCACACGGGACGCGTAGTCCATGAAAAGTAGAAACAGCCAAAGCGTCCACAGTGTGACCAGGAAGTGATTGTGACGAAGGCAAGCGGAAGAGCCAATCAAGAATCAGGTGGAACCTGGCCGGCAAGGAGGGCAGGTCGAACCCTGCCCCTGGCTTTAAACTTAAAGGCCACCAGCCCGATCCTGACTCCTCGCAGGAGAAACAAGGAAATCATTTCTAACTCTAGGAGGGGGTGAGAATGAGCTGCGACGGCAGGCCAGCCTGTCAGCAGCTCAGGGAGTTACAATACCCAGGCCCCTTCTCCCAAACTTACACTACTATAGGCAGGCGCGCGCGCGCGCACACACACAGACACACACACACAGACACGCCGCGCAGGAAAAGGGTTACATAGATACTACTCTGGTGGGAGTAAGTACGGACCCAGGGTACCCTGGGTGAGTGAAGATGGCAGTAGAGAAAAAAAGGACACCATGGGCACGATTAGGTTTTGGCCTTTAGTCTGAAAAAGTGTTGACTGAAAGTGTACAACAGAGAGCAGGTGCAAGCGGCTAGGGGCCATGGAGCCGCCAATAAAAAAGAATGTCCTTAAATAAAGTTCACAGAGTAAAAACCAGAACCACCAGTCCTTCCCTCCAACACAACAGAGCACAGGCACAGAACCGGTGATGAGCCCCAAGGAGCAAGGAGGAGGCTGGGGAGGACAGCAGAGGCTCCCAGGCTGTTGTGTGGAGGGAGAGCCCTCTTTGGAATGGGCTGAGCCAAGCCACCCAGCTCCCCCTGCACACCTGATAACCACTGCTAAGGCTAAAGGAAAAAGACAAAACTCAGTCTCAGTCTGGAGGGCTCAGAAAACAGTCTAGGTGGGCAGAAATCTGGACAACCGCTAGTCCCGCTTGGCCTTCTTCTTGTCGCTGTTGCCATTTTCTTCAGCCCCCTCGGTAGACAGCACCTCCTCCAGTTTCCGCTTGCCACTCTCTGGCTGAGGCGCTGCTGTGTTTCGGGGCTTGAAGCAAATGATGATGCAGGTCATGTTGTCACACCCTGTACCGTCCCCAGAAGTGTCTGGTGCCAGGCACTGATCCAGCAGCTACAAAAGGGAAGGGGCAGCTCAGCTGCAGGGTTTGAAAACTTGCTGGGAACCTAAAGTCTTAGAGGGCTGGCCTTGCTGAGACAGGGTAGCAGAAGGAAGGGAACAGGCAACAGGTGCCACAAAACAGGCTACATGCTAGTCCATAAGGATAAGTCAGGGGAAGTGGATCTTTCTAGTCAGAGTTTAGTATGTCAGTATTCCCAGGTTCTGATTTTAACTCAGGCTAAAAGAGAAAATCTTGGATACACAAACCAGACACCCTCTTTCCACCCTGGGACTTACCTCTTCCACAATGGATGACAGTAACCGAAGCTCCCCATTTTCATCGCGCTGGCTGATCTTCGATTGAATAAAGTCTATAACTTCCTGGCTGCTCATCACATTCCTGGGGTCATAAACAACAGTAAGAATCCTTTTTAGTCCCACCAAGGCAGAGTAGAAGAATATGGATGACATATTGCTCCATGTGTGCATGCTCAGTTGCTCGTGTGTCCAACTCAATGGACCCACCAGGCTCCTCTGTCCATGGCATTCTCCAGGAAAGAATACTAGAGTGGGTTGCCAATATCTCTTCCAGGGGGATCTTCCCAAACAAGGGATTGAACCTGTCTCCTGCACTGACAGGTGTATTCTTGACCACTGCACCACCTGGGAAGCCTGACAGATGCCCCAGGCCAATGTAAACACCCACAGAGACTCTTATCAGCTCTGCCTTCCCCTTGGGGATCTTGACACCAAGTTACCTATATAGGCTCTAATCTTAAGAGCAACCTGAGAAGAGGCGCTGACTACAGTCATTAGTAAGAAGATAAAGAAGCTCAGAGCCCCACATGAGAAGTAACGCTGCAGGGGAAAAAGGGAATTTTAGGGTGTTCTGCCAGTGCTCACCATATGCCATCACAGGCAATGACCATGAACTCATGATCGTCTGTGAGAGTCAGCACCTTGATGTCAGGAAGGGCCGAAATCATCTGTTCCTCTGGTGGCAAGTTCTTGTTTCTCTTGTAAAAGTGGTCTCCTGAAGTAAAGGAATGGTTGGCTGATGAGCAAGTAGTCTGAGCACCTCCCACAGATTTGTGCTTGAGGCCAATCAAACCCTGCCGTTCATTTCTCTTCTTTACAAAGTTCTATTATCTAGTGGGATGAAATGAGTTCTAATTTTTCTGGTTTTAGCCCTGTCTTTGGGTTGCTGAACTTTAGGTCAGTCACTAACCTGTCTTTTTCAATACCTATCTCATCTATTTCACAGAGATGTTTAAGGGACAGAGGTAGCAGATACAAAAGTAGTTTGAAAAATAAAAGGGTTATGAAGATTAAAGTTTGCTACAGGTGTCTGGAAGAGAGATCAAGACCCCAGAAGTCTTTCCCATAGTTTCTTGGTCCTTACCAATGGCTCTGGAGAGGTTGAGGCCACCGTTGACTCGCCCATCCATGGTAACCTTGCCTCCAGCATTCTTGATGCGTGCTAGCTCCACTTCATCCTCTGGTTTGTGGTCATAGGACATGTCTAAAGCTTTGCCGGCCTCAGACACCACACAGCGGGAGTCTCCTGCATTGGCTACAATCAACTGCTTCCCTCGTATCAGAGCCACCACCGCTGTTGTACCACTGTCAGAGCCAGGCTTAAAAGGAAGAAAGGGAGTATCACAGGAGCTCCTGGATAACAGTTCTCCTCATTCTCCTACATTTCCTCCTCTCACTAGGACCACCAAGAGGGCTTTAACAGACAGGAGGGTCACAGATTTAATCTTTCCGGAAATTACAGCATGCTCTCCCCCTTTTCTGAGACAATTCTACCCAAAAGACCTAGTTCCCCTTGTAGAGTAAATCCTCCCATGACCACTGACTTCAGTGTGAAGATAGAGAGGGGACCCTTCTCCCAAAATCACAATCAGAGAATTCACCATACCTAGCTTCTTGGCTTTCTCAGACTCATTGCCCCCGTCCCCACACACCTCCTCTTTGCCTTCCATCCCAGGCACCATCATCTCCTCTTCTTCCTCATCCTCTTCAGCCTCCTCAGTGTCATCCTCGTCTTCCTCATTCTCTGCCTCTTCACTGCTGTAGCCATCTTCTTCCTCACTGCATTCCTGCCAGAGGGACGACCCCAGGCTACTGAGGCTGGGGTGACCCCCTTGCCCCTCCCCCTAACTCACACTCAGAACCAAGAGGCCTTTACTGAACAGATTCTCAAAACACTGGTAGATGCATATATATAATATCCTGATGGAAAAACGTGGCGGAAGGGAGAGAGGGCTACCATGGATATACTGGTTTCCTGAACTAGGTTCAGTGGTCACTAGCAGGAAACCTTGGGGAAGGCCAGGGCTGCTAGCCAAATGCACCTTCCAGCAACATGACCAGAGAATAAGCTGCCCAGAAAAAAGAAACACCCAACTATCCAAAAGGAACACCATCTTGTTATCTCTCTAGGAGACAGACTGTGAAAGGCTAGAACTAGATCTATTTGTTACAATGTCAACAAAAGAAGAGGTAAGAGGGCGCTAATGGTACCTGTGTTAGCAGAGATAATAATTTTCAAAAACCTTAAACTATATTTGCGGGATGCTGTCAAAATAGGAGACAGAAAAGAGTAGAAAGCAATTATGCACGGCGATCAACCAGGCCCTCTCTACAACTTCAGCATCTGTCTGACCCCATGGGCCCTTACCTCGCTGTCTTCCTCTTCCTCCTCCGCCTCATCTGACTCATCCTCACTGTCCTCAAAGAACTTGGACTTAGCAACTCGAGGCAGCTTGTCGGAGGCTGAAGAGCAGGAAGGCCCAGCCTCACCAGTGGGAGTGCCAGGCTCCCCACCTTGGCCTGCCTCAGTCCCACATTCCGAGTTGGAGGAAAGGCCTGTGTGAGCCTTGGCTGTGGGGCCATTTTCCTCTGTAGAAGTTTCCCTAGATGGGTCCTCAGGTCCTGCCTCCCCATTGAGGCCCTGGGACCCTGGTTCCTCGCCTGTCCCAGCTCCAGATTTGCTGTGGGGAGCACCCTTGTGACAGTTCTGCCCGTAGCGTGTCAGCAGCTCTTCAATAGTCATGGTAGCCTCTTCATGCAGCAGTGCAGCCTCCTCATTGTCCACTGCAGGGGAGATGCTACATCAGCGCCCCATGCCAGACTCCTCCAGGAAGCAGTCCTTTACTACCTCCACAGCCCTTGTGACCTGAGTTCCAACTTACTTGCCCACCACCTCCCCTTCTCAAGTAGCTCCTGTCTCTTATCACAACTCAGAAAAACAGAAAAACTGCCCTTTGCTTCCTTTTCCTCAAGCAACATCAGCCTCCAGATATTTCCTTTGGTCTTTGTGTTTCACTCCCTTCTTAGTCAAAGGAATAGTAGTCCTGTATGTGTCGCCTATCACCTCTCATGTTTTATGGGTAAGCTGGAAACCCTATTCTGACTGAGGACCCAGGAAGTCTACAATGCCAGTCCAGGCCTAGGGCCCAGGCTTAATGACTGGCTGGTATGGCTAACAGCAGTTCCAATCTTTAAAAAAAAGATCACATAAACATTGATTTCCTCTCAAACAAAAGCTGCCACACTCACCATCATCTTCATCAGCAACTTTTTCTTTTTCATCCTCATCTTCAGTGGGTCGCCCTGCAATCTGTGCCAGCTCCTTAATGACTTCTTCAGTGGTTAGTTTGGCATCAATAGCCAAGAAGGCATCTTCCAAAGCCTAAAGAGAAGCAAAATAGTATAAAGCAAATGTAGGAAAAACTATGCAGGTACAAAATGAATTGCCTATACACAATCCTGGGCACAAGGATGGGATGCAAATCAGAGTGATCCACCAAGCTGTGAGATAACTCAGAGACAAACAGTTCAGAGACCTGGGGATCAATAAGACACTCTAAAAAGGACCAAGTGGGAATAAGCTCATTTTAGGTACACAATTTTTTTAAGAAATTAGGTACAGAATTCTTTAAGCAGCTGGGTGGCAATCAGAAAAGCCAAGGATTGGTGGGGGGAGAGAAAAGGGGAAAGTCTGCAGAAGTGGAGAAGGAACAATGTGGGAAGACAGACCTTCTGTAGCTTGCCTTCTTTGTAGGCCTTCTGATCTTTGATGATATCAGGAAGATATTTGGCACAGTACAAGGCAACTTCCTCCCCTAGAAGAAAGGTAAAGTGCACAGCTTTGCACACACAGAAAGTGATATAATATCAACACACCAGTGAATCCCAAAGCTTGAGGAGATGAATATCTTAGCACATCTGAAACCTATGTGAATGACAATGTTTTGGGAAGTTCTGACCAAGAAAATGGATTTCACCATCACCTCTCTTGGGGCTATGTTAATACTGCCCATGTGTTTTCTCACCTGTATACTTAGTTTTCAGTAAAAAAAAGACAAACACAGGGAAAAAAAAAAAAGACAAACACAGGGAAAGGCTTCTTGTATTAAAACAAGGCCTGGTGAGATTAAGAACAAATCAAATATCCTACTGGGAAGAAGGAATGGCAGAATAGAGAAAAACAGCACTAGGCAGCAAATGGTATCTGAGGACCAGAACTCTGGAAAAGAAAAGAACAAAGGACCTAGAATTGGGGTTCCCAGAATGTTACCAATATGATCTGCTAAAGTTACCTCCATGTCCATCATAGACAGAAAACATGGCTGTCTCACTGTCCAGCTCAGGAATACAGTTGTGAGCATCCTACGAAAAAGAGCATAATTAGCATTTCTTAAGGTCAAAGGATATTCTTCCTTGTGCATTTCAGGTCAGAAGGATCGCCTTCACATCTTAATCTCACTAAACCCTTCCCTGACTGACCTACATGGCCTAGAAATAAGAAAGGAAGATGGGATGATAAGAACAGCACAAGGGTGGGAGAAAGGAAGCGGGGAGGAAAGAGGGAAGGGAGGGAGAGAGCAAAAGGAAAGGAAGGCGGGAGGGAAGAAGGGAAGAGATGAATCAGGTCACTACCTCTGCAGTCTAGCAGCCTCAGCCTAGGAGATCTCAGTCCAGATGGCAGAATGTTTGGCTGTTGGAACTCTAGACCTGACCCTTTTGGATTTGTGGCAACTATGGGAAGAACCAGAATAAAGGATCTTTAAAGTCACTTCCAGACCCCTTCTATGAATCAGTGAACTTCAAGGTAGAAAATGTGAGGGAGGATAGCAAAAAGTGACAAAGCAACCCAAGAGCCTTACCTACCTGCAAAATTTCTAGGAGAATCCTAAGACAGCCCGAGTGGAAGCATCCCCACCCCACCCCCCACCCCCAGAAAAGCACCATCAAAACAGATTAACCCACCAGGCTAGGTGGAGGATACAGTTACAAAAGAAAATCTTTCCAACAAATAGTTATTAAACTACACTGTGTGCAGTACTTGTTAACTGGAATTTACAATTAAATCAGCCACTTCCCAGGTGGCTCAGTGATAAAGAATTTGCCTGCTGATGAAGGAGACGTGGGCTAGATCCCTGGGTCGGGAACATTCCATGGAGAAGGAAATGGCAACCCACTCCAGTATTCTTGCCTAGATAATCCCATGGACAGAGGAGCATAGAGGGCTATAGTCCATGGGGTCGCAGAGTCATCCCACCTCCCACCTCCAGCTGGAACTGAGACACCATTTAATTCGGAAGGCACAGCACATCTGAAAAGAAATTTCCCATGGTCTTATAGGTATATTCTCTACAGACAGAAAGGATATAACTATCTATTTATTCTGATTAATTAGTAAAGTTAATAGTTCTCCTTTGTCTTTCAGGTATTTAGTATTTACATTTTTTAAATTATATCGATAGAGGAAATCGGAGTGTGTAAGTTCTGCTGTCCCTAAAATAAGACTATGCTGTCATTATACAAGTCTGCTAGAAAATTAAACTTAGGGTTTTAAGATAGGCAAAGAGCACTGAAAAGAAGGTTCTTTTTTATTTCCCTCTGATTGTCTCCAGGAGAAAGGGCCCCAGAAGCTAATGGGCATCCTCAGAAGGCCTTTGATGGCCTGTGTGGTCATCAACACAACTGCCTCTTAGCCTCATCCCTAGAGGCTAGAGATCCCCAGAGATCCCTAGAGATCTAGAGAAACCCACACTAGTCATCTTCCTCCTCTCCCACACTTTACCAATGACTCTACCACCAGCCATGCTGACCTACCATCCCTCTAAGCCAGGGTTTATCATATTGCCCCCTCCTCTCCTTTCACCAACATCTTTCTTGCCTTTTATGATTGTCTCTACAGTGGTTCTCAGACTTTAACGTGCCTAAGAATTCATTCATTCGTTCATTCATTCAAATATTTGAGTATCCATTATGCGCCAAGATGTGCTGTCTGATTAGTTTCAGCAAAACAGCTGTGTCACATTAATGTTGATTTTAATTCTGTTGATTTTGCAGTTTGGTTTGTTGGCATGGAATTTATGTCCAGGTCTATGTTTGTACTCACTGAAGTAACAGTAAATTAAAATCATGTTAGTAAATACTAGAGACCCACAAATATTGCTTTCCTTAAAAAAAAAAAAAAAAAATCCATGGGCGATCTCCAAGATATTTTGCTAAATAAAGCAAGCAAAGCGCATAATAATATATTTATTTAGTAAGCCACTTTTTGTGTAAGAGGGAGTACAGGAATAGACATTTGTCTTCTCATACTTTAATACTACAAGGACACACAGAAAACTAGTAAAAATAAACTGTGGGAGGGCATGAGGGTGCAAACAGATGAATGGGAGCAAGAGGGAACCATGGGAATGTTTAGCTTTTCAAAAGTAAATTAAATGTCTTTTAATTGCCTTTTTTAGTAGAGGAGCTTAGCACTCTTCCTGCCCACTACTTCCCAGTGGACAAGAGAATCAACTGGTCTTTCTCTGTCCTACAACACCACTCTAAATCACAGCCGTATTGTCTCTTTTGAACCCACACCTCTATTTAAAAAATCTCTTTGACTTCTCATTGCTCCTCACAAGATCATGTGATTTTGAAGCAGAAGATCTAGCCATCAGTGAACACTGGAAAAATAACTACTCTCTACAGTAATCAAATGGACATTAAAAAAAACAAGGAGGGAGGGAGGTGGGAGGGGGGTTCAGGATGGGGAACACATGTAAATCCATGGCTGATTCATGTCAATGTATGGCAAAAACCACTACAATACTGTAAAGTAATTAGCCTCCAACTAATACAAATAAATGGAAAAAAAAAGGAATTATCTTTTTATGCAAGTTAAAATGATGAAAAAGATGAACAGTATCCAGTAGTAATAAGAGTGAAGATAAAAACACATTCTCATACTCTGATCAACAGGAATATAAATTAGCAGTTTTCCTGGAAGGCAATTTGGTAATATGTATTAAAATGTGCACATCTTTTGATCTAGAAATTTGACTTCTAGATTTATCTCATGGGAGTACTAACACAAGGATAAAAAGATACAAAGAATGCTCATTATAGCATTACTTATAATAAAAAAATTATAACCATCTAAATTTTCATGAATAGATTACAAACAGTACATCTCTCCAATGGAATATATGCAGTTGTTAGAAACGATGAATATGTGTTCATTTAGAAATGAGTTCACAACATATTAAGTGATAAAAAGCAAAACATAAATTATCTGTATGTAAGAAATCTGTAAGATTGCATACCAATCAGTGGAAGGTGAGATTTGGGTAATAATTATTTTTACAATATAGAATGACAGTATCTGCATTATTCATATCCTCACAGGGCAATCATGAGGATGATGTAAAATGCGTAAAAATTCTTTGGAAATTGGGATGTAGTACATAGGTATATACATATATTCTGCTCTGAAATGTCGTACCCGATTCACATTTGTCTTCTCTATCCTTTTTCTCAAAAAGGAATGCCCACAATAAAGATTCACTTTCTGCCTTGAGGTTTCAGTTCCTAGAACTCTCTACATTACGTTCACCTCCACTTTTTGGTAAGGCTTTGGTTCTACGTCACTTGGAACTGTTCTACCTTCTCTAAGCACTTCAATTCCCCACTTGTATCTTCAACCATAGCCTCCCTACCTTTACCCTTGTCTTTCTGTCCCTTTGAGTCGGAGCTAAGCATTTCAACACTGTCTCTAAGCAATCTGGAAAAACTCATCCATCCTTGTATAACCCGACCAACTGCTTTCTTTACCCTTGAATCTGAGCCACTAAGTATTGCTAATTATAAAAATGTCATGAAATCACGTTGATTGCAGTGACTACTTCCATTTAGAATTTTTTTCTCTATTCTGCACTGGCTCTTAAATACATGAACCACAGTTAGTCACAAAACTTTTCCACACTACTCAAGTTCTCACGGATATTTTCTGTTCACTCTTAGCAGAAAAAAGGCTTCCCTGGGGGCTCAGCAGTAAAGAATCTGCCTGCCAATGCAGGAGACACAGGTTTGATCTCTGGGTGGGGAAGATCCTTTGGAGAAGGAAATGGCAACCCATTCCAGTATTCTTGCCTGGGAAATTCCATAGAGAGAGGAGCCTAGTGGATGGGATACAGCTATGAGGTTGCAAAGAATCAGACGGGACTTAGCGACTAACCAACAACTTAGGACATGAGCTAACCTCTTACTTTACTTAGATTGAGGTCTTATTTCAAGATATACCTCATCTTCCCTAGGAAGATTTCTAATTTCTCCATAGTGTCTAACTTCTCCTTCACGTCTTCCTCAGAAGCAGTATTTTTCTAGATTAACATTTCTTCTCAAGCACAAACCCTTCTCCCTCAAGATCATACGTCACAGAACAGGCAATAACCGTTAACAGCAACCCAAACAGCCATTTTGCAGGCTTCATTCTCCCCAACCACTGTATGAAATTAAATAGTGCAAACCATGTCAGCTTTCTCAAAAGTTCTCTTGGGTTCTGTGAAGAACTGTAATTCTATACCTCCGATTGTCTTGTTTCCACCAGATGTCCCTTTTCCACCTCAAACTTAACATATGTAAACAGGAACTTAGCAGTGTCCCCCATCCCCCCCCCAAAAAATATCACAGCTTCTCCTACCTGTCTTATTCCTGTGGATGTAATCTTAACTCTCCTAGGCAACAGCTAGTATTGGTCCTCCCTAACTTCCATCCATCAACATCTATCACTGAGTCCTGCTAACTTTTCCCTTATAACTATGATCCTGGATTACTTTACTCAATATTTTAACTCCTCTCCTGTCTCTACTCTCTATCTCCTGTAATCCAGCCCACATACATCCAGTTGCCAGATTATCTCCCTAATATGACGTTTTACTGTAAGGCCCTTCAGTGAACCCTACTACATTAGATTAATTCCATACAACTTACTGGCAACTAAAGGCACTCAATAATCATTCCTATCCATCTCCATAACCTAATCTCTTTAACTCATACCAATCCTCAAAAGAAACTACTCTTGGCACTCTTGATACTAGAACACTCTACCCTGGCATAGTAAGCATGCCTACCTCAACCTTTCCTCCTATCCCTTCTAATATTTTTCCTTCTCTCACTTTTCTCCTCCCCATTTGTTACCATTTATACTGTTTCCTAAGGGTCCAGTTAGTCTCACCACCTCCAAAAGATCTTTCTCAATCACACCAATACTGTGTGATCATTCCCCTTCTGAACTCTTAATATTGACTGTCCGTACCAGTAATTTGGCATTCAGCATATATTATCTTGTACTGTTATCCAAATCCCATAGGGGAAAGTGTCGTAGG